CCATTTCCATATGCCGCTTTCTCAGGATTCCTTGTCTCCAATCTTCCAATCTGTTTCCTTCCAAGTCCCTGACCAGATGGTCAGACTATTGGCCATTGGCCAGGAATTTGTACATATTTTCCCTTCAGGCCACTTTTCCTCATATGTGTCTACTCCTTGCAGCTTCCCGCATTGAGAACATTGCTCCCTCTTTCCAGGTCACCCATCAGTGTGGCTAATGTCCGCTTTTAGCTCTACCCATGAACTGAGCAGATCCATCTGTAAACTAAGCTTGGGCTTCTTCCTCCTCGTTTAGCCAGTCATATGGGCTCTCCCTAGCAGGCTGTACACATAACCAGGGGAGGGCATGGGTGCATCTGTGGTAGGTGACATGGGCCTCTGGCCTTCTTGCTCATGCAGGTTACTCATGCCCTATGGCTCCTCCAGGACCCAATCCTGATGGATCACTTCCACTTTATGATTGCCGCTGGACATGTGTGACTTTTTGACTTGTTGGGTCCAACAGAACCGTTCCCAGCAGTCACTTATGGACGTATGGTCACATGGTGTTTGGTGGCCAAGGGTTCTATCTCCACCAGGCTCCAGGAACAGTTGCTTCTCAGACAGCATAAGCTGCTCTGCTGTGGATGTCATGGTCTTGCTCTAGAATCCCAGGAGGCTGCGATCTGATTCTTCCACCAGAGCTCGCCATTACCCATCCCCTCTTGCTACCTCTTTTCCAACCACAGACCACCCCTACCCCACCAACACCATAGGGTCTGAAGATCAGGTGGTCCAAGTAGCAGTGCTGTTTGCACTGTGGCCTGGACCTGTCACATAACCCTTTCCTGCTCCAGGCCTTACTCAAAGCTGGAAGCCTTCCGTGTCACCTGGTATACAGGCTGGAGAAGTATTCCTACATGTGGAAGGCATTGAATAGTAGTTCTCGGAGTGGAGGGTGTTACCTGCAAAACCCAAATAGCTCTACCGGGAGCTGTGCCTCCTGGTTTGTAGTGGGAGATTCCAGATGCAGCAATTTGCCTTCCACTTTGGAGTGGTTATCTTGGCATGCCCTCCCTCACTGGACCTCTGAGAGTGTCACTGAAGTGGCCTGTCCCTGAGTCATCATGGCATTTACTTCCCACGAGCTTATCAAGACTTCTAGTATATGAGCCTCTCATCTGTCCTGCGCAATCAGCCCTACATCACTGATAGAACGGGTCAGTGTCATGTTCTGTTTGATGTATGCGTGGTCCAGGTTCTCTTTGGACTATATCATGACAGAAGCTGGGAAAGTTAATATGGTCCTGAAATAAACTATAAATGACTATTCCTGTTTCTCTTGTTTGAAAGCAAATATTTCTCATTCTCTTTTTCTTTCTTTTTGTTTTTGAGACGGAGTTTTGCTCTTGTTGCCCAGGCTGGAGTGCAATGGCAGATCTCGGCTCACTGCAAGCTCTGCCTCCTGGGTTCAAGCAATTCTCCTGCCTCAGCCTCCTGAGTAGTTGGGATTACAGATGCCTGCCACCACACCCAGCTATTTTGTGTATTTTTTTTAGTAGAGGCGGTGTTTCACTATGTTGGCCAGGCTGGTCTCGAACTCCTGACCTCAGGTGATCCATCTGCCTCAGCCTCCGAAAGTGCTGGGATTACAGGCGTGAGCCACCGTGCCCGGCTCTCTTTTCTAATTACAGTGGAAGAGAATGCACTTGCCAAATCACTGGCTGCATCATCACGTACCTAATGCCCAGTCTGCTACAGTGGCAATACCACATCCAGCATTGCAGCTGCAATCAGAAATTGAAGTTGGTTACATCTGTGGTAGTCTACAGTTATTCTCCACGGTGCATCAGCAGGGGCCACCCTGCAAATGCTAAGGGCCAGCACTCTGTATTCTATATGAAGGTCTTTAACGGTGCTCGTCTGCACTGCCCCACTCCACCCCAAGGCAGTGTAGGCCAGCAACCCATCTCAAAACAAAAAAATGAAAACAAAAACAAACCAAAACTCTCCAATGGCTTCCATACTTAGAATAAGAACCAGGTTCCTTGCTATGGTCCTTGAGACCTTGGATGATCTGGCCCCAGGCTGCGTGAAGCTGGGGAGTCTTTCTAACCACACACTGGCCTCACCGTCCTTCAGACATCACGAGCTGGTTGTCTCCTGACCTTTGTACCTGCTGCTTGTTCTACCTGGAACGCTCCTCCCAGATTCTTTCACGTCAGGCTCCCTCACTTTCTGATCTCTGACCAAATGATGAAAGGGTCAATCCATCAGAAGGTCATGTAACTGTTATATTGGTACTGTCTATGTGCCAAATAGTGTTTCAAAATACAAAAGCAGAGATAATATACTTAAAGAGAGAAAGAGACCTCAGTAAGTGATAGCAAACCAGATTAAAAATTAGTAAGGAACCACTTATATGCTGTCTACAAGGTTGGAAGTTAAAGGATGAATAAAGATACAACATGCAAAATGAATCCAGCTTTAGTATGCCTATGTGCGTTTCGGACAAAGAAAACAAGACAAGGAAGCTTACCAGAGATAGTGTGGGGCATTATATAATAATAAAAGAGCCAGTTTGTCTTGAGAAACGTATATGCTTCTAATAACACAGCTTCTGAATGAAGAAGCAAAAATCAACAGAACTGAGAAAGAAAAATTCCAAACCATAATTGGAGACTTTGTTAGCATTAGCAGACAAAATGTGTGGGATGCTGCTAAAAGCTGTAAACAGAGGATGTATAGCCTTGAAATTTATATAGTAGGGAAAAAAAGGTTGAAAAATTTATACATTCTCAAGAAGTTAGAAAAAAATCTACCAAAATAAACCCAAAGTAAACACAAGCTAGGAAAAAAAATTGGTTCAAATATGGAGTAGGTGGAATACAGACAGGTTTAAAAAGAAAGAGGAGATATTCTGAAGAACTAAATTGGAGGCCAGACAACTCTAGCCATATGGCTTCAGTGATGAGTTCTACCCAAAATACAAAGAAATATCTATCTTACCAAACTTACACATTTATTCTAGGTGCCAAAGAATGTTCATTTCCACCACAGTCCACGGAAGTTATTTGTGGCTATTACTAACCTCTTAATTTTTTGCCAAATCCATAAATGAAAAATAGCATCTCGTGTTTTTGTCTGCATCTTATTATGATGTTCAACACCTAATATTAGCCATTTTTCACTTTCAGTATGTTTTTTTGCTCATTTTCCTTTTTTCATTTTTAACTTTAAATATCACTTTGTTATACATTATATTTGCTGTCTACAGTATATATGATTTATATATATACATACACACATATATAAATATGTGTATATGTAGGACATTAGAATATTTTTGGTAGATTATATTGTTTATATGTATACACATATATAAGGTTTATATGTATGCACATATATATTAGGTTTATATGTATACACATATATTGTTTATATGTATACACATATATTATATAAATCTAATATATATACACATATACACACAAATATACTTATCCATTTCTTAATAACTTGTTCTTCAAAAAATGTTTCCACTTTTCTGATAATGCAAACATAACCTTCTAGCAATTTTACATTTATGTTTAACCTTTGATCCATTTGGCATTTGCTAATATCGTGGGGTAGGGAGTTAAGGTTGGTATTTCACTCAAATGTGACCAACTGTCTCAACACCATTTTTGTTTTTAAGAACAGTGATTTTGTGAATTAGAAATGCAATCTGTCATATATTGATTTTATATTTACACAACGATCTCTCTGGGCTTTTTCAAATGTATTTATCCCTGTGTTAAGTATTTTATACCACAAATCAATAGATTATAAAATGTTGTTAGAAGTCTCACATCTTCCAAATTTCTATCATCACACATTTTTTCTTCCAAATGCATCTTACTTCTTTTGATTTTGATAGGGATTGTCATGAATTTGGGGAAAGAATGAATGGTCTTGTATTTAGGTCTTTCTGGGTTCATAGCATGTCTCCATTTTTAAAAATTTTCTACGTCTTTTGGTTAACCTTTAGTTTTCTTCACAAAGGTCTGTGACATTTCCTGTTAGGTGTAATTGCACTTAATAAGCATTGTATTATTTTGTTATTGTGAACAGGGATATTTTAAAGATACAATTTCAAAGTTAGTGTGATAAATGGTATTGATTTTTGTATAGTCTAGCCACTTTACAGAGCTTTTCTATTCATTCCAAAGGCAGGGCAAAACCAAAAACCCAAAAACCTTTGGGTTTTTCCCCATAGATCATCAAATTGTTGAAAATGTTTTCTCTTCTATTCTCATATTAGTACTTTATTTCTTAGTATTGGTGGTGGGGCTCCTTGTTTTGTTGACTTTAATAAATACTTTTAGTTCACCATTAAGATGTTTCATTGGGAATGCCGTAACTTTAAATACATTTATGACATTTACTTTTCCTAGCTTTATTTCTTTAAAATGAATGAGAGCTAACATTTGTCCTACACAAATTTATCAAATGGCACTCATTGTTAATCATGTTTTTTTCCTTCCTTTAATCTGTTAACATAGTTAACAGCATTGATAAGAGTTTTCTAATCATTTTTTTTTGGATCTTTTAAAAATACAATTCCAGGTTAGTATTTCATATAGCTTATGATCTAGGTTTCAGGTACTGTACTTGTACTGCTTATCAACTATTAAACCATTATGGATATTCTAATGTGTGATATGACCTTCCTAAGCCAGTCAGAAGTCCACATTATTCTTATAAATATGTCTGGAGATTTGGGAATGGAAGGTGGAACAGCATGGTGAAGAGTCATCTAGGACTCAATGGAACTAGATGTGGCTTATATTTGCCATTAAGTTACTAGACAATCCTTTGTTTCAAATGTGAAAATTTATAAAATGGGTTATTGGAAGAATTAAATGTTAAGGTGCTGTGAATAGTGTCAACTGCCATATAAATATAATAAATTATTAAATTACAAGTAAGGTCTTTTTAAGTGCAATTATGAAAGAAGATACAATATAAACACATTAAAATCTCTAAAGCCATGTAAAACCCGAAGGCATTAAAATTTATTAAATGATGCAATAACAACAGAATTCTTTATTTACAATAGCATTATTTAACATCAAATAAGCAAATAGCATCAGCAAAGCAATATTAACTTGCATAAATGTATTTAAAATTTCTCTGAATATATCTACCTTTGCATAAACTGCTCACACTAGAAATACAAACATCAATGCAGGTGAACAAAGTGATGTTCAGAGTCAACTCCATTTCGAAAATAAATCACAACCTGAAACACTGTAAGCTTTCTCCTGAAGAACCATAGTTAATATATTGCTTAATTTTACCCTTGTATAATCTTTTCATATACACACATCTCAGATGCAACTTCATGAGGAACTGTACAAATAAAACTCACAAATGACAAAGGAAAAAAAATGACAGTTAAATGCTTGAAGAAATGTATCATCATCACTATTCAACAACATAAAGGTTAAGTGATGATGCACTTATTCAAAAATTGTACACAATTCACTATACAAATATAATACATCGGACAGCTATGTAGGAATATACAAGACTTAAAAACAGATCTAAGGCATTATGCTAGATTTTAGCATTTTGAGGTTCTTGCACATAGCTTTTACCTGTAGTAAGAAACTTAAAAGATTTTGTTTTAGTCTATAAAGAAACACCAGGGAGAAAATTCTAATTAAAATCGAAGCCACTACAGTAATTTTCTTTTGTGCAGAGAATGCTTTGCTCTTAGGCAGCATACTACCATACAAACACTAGAAAATTTTAAATTCACACCAACAATTAATGGCTTAAGTTGCATTTCAAAATTGATTGTGTATCTTTGGGTTCTGCAAGTGGATCTGTGCCACCCATTTCATGTGTTAAGCCCATATGAACTCCATTTTTGAACACAGATTAAAAATTGCATTATATAAACTGCAAAAACATTGCTTTCAATTATTACAGGCCATAAGAGATACACATAGGGGGAGGGGCATATTAATCTTTGAGTCAAACGAATTCATTGTAGTAAAACAGCTCACTTCACTTTTTAAACTTACCACATTACATGAACACTTAAATGAGTTTTACAACCAAGTTAATGTATGTATACTTTTCACATTATGTTTTTCACATTTAGTAATATAAGCGAAACACTGATTATTTGTTCTATTAAACAAAAACCAAGCACTCAGTCTAACAAATTTATTGTGTACAGCATGAGAAATACTGATAATGAAGGGAACTGATTTGGCTTTTGCTTCTATAGTGATCAATATGATCAGAGGATTCCTTCACTTACTTTTCTTGTCCAAATTAGATGTAAAACAAAAATCCATTACCTGATCGAAACCATAAGAGAATTTATCATCTTTTCCTTCAAAACAGCAATGATTATGAATTATTATAAATTACCAGTATCATGAGGTTGCAGATTTGTCTGAATTAGGATTGACATTAAAATACAGTGGGCAGATGGATAAAAAAGAGATAGGTAGATAGTTTTGGACGGTGTTGTAGTGAAAAGGGACTTGAAACTAAAAACAAATCCAGTTTAAACTCCATTTCTTTTTTGTGCTGTGTGAAGTTAAAAATCATTCTAATTCACATATTTCTAAACATTAAAACTGGTCACACTGAATTGGATGCCACGTGAGCCTCAGCACACGGGGAGGTCCTGGAGTTCTGGGCCAACATCTGCTTGTTTTTTTCATCACAGTTGGGCAACCCAATGGTTTGGTGGAGAAAAGTAGAGCCTTTTGAGGGGATATATGAACTGGTGGCCACTGAGAAGTGCTGTTCCTTGGCCACCTCCCTGTATTGAGATCCCTCTCAAGTGGAAAAAAAGTAGCGAAATGCAAATTTCCAGAAAGTTTCTTTAGTATGGAGCAACATTTTCAGACTGTCTACTTACCATCTATCTTTGGGTTATATCTCTTTCTATATTTCCATAATCTGTACATATAGAGAGAGATATAAATATAAATAGGGGTAGTTTGTACATTTTTCACCCTGCCACAAATAAACAATCACATTTCAAGGAAAAACTTCTCTGTTCCTAAAAAGCCTGGCTAATGAGATATTATAAAATGCTTTGCTTTTTAGACATCAAAAAGATATCATTCTGAAATTTAGGTAAGAAAGGTATTAGGGGTTAAGGAGAAATAGCTCAAAAAAGGTCATCAGTTTCTTGGTATTGCAGTTGTCTGAAACTGACACCCATTAATAAAAGATTATTCCCCTACCAGAGTGGGCAAGAAAAACAACCATAAAAGTGGCCTGCTTAGTAACATGTAGTCTTTCTAAGGTTCATTAAGAAAGAATATAAACATATAAAAATCAAGAATTGGTTCCTACAGCGGCTGCATATCATACAGATTAGATAAATGACTTATGAGCAGAATCACAAGGTTTAGAAAATAAAAAGTCGTAAGTCTACAAATTAGGTCTAATCAAGGCATTGATATCCTTTACAAAACACCTTTAGGAGACATTGCTATGAAGATATCTAATTTAATACTGAAGTACCTCATTTTTGAGTCAATTCCACAATATGTATACCTCACAAAAATTATACAATTAAAACACATAAGTTCTCAACTTAAATTATTGCTTGTTTACATATAAATCGGATTTTATGTACCTTACAAAACTTCGGCTTAGTCAGCACTGCTAAAAAACAAAATAAAAAACACATGGCAGAGGTTAAATCTGTCGTGATATCTGCTATCAATTTAAACACACTGGCGTTTTCTCCCATTTTGGAGGCCAGAGTTGCTGGGGAACAGAATAAACATGCTTCCAAAGCAGGTATCCTTAGCTCGATTGGTATCAAGTCTTAACTTTGCTCTTCTCCTTGCCAGTAAATGCATTTTTTTTTTTTTTCTGAAATTCAATACTTAGCAATTGGTAAGTGGCTGGCAAAACATTTAAGGAAATAAAGGGCTTACCTGGTTTCTGTAGCTTATATTATTTTTAAAAAAATGAATGAAAGTAGGGAGGATGGGGAATGAGAGAGGGGAAGGGAAGAGTCAGGCTGACAGGAAAGAAGAGATGCTGATTCAAGCTGTCTGATCAAACTAAAGGGAACTTAATATAGAAATGAAAATTATTTCTTCTCGATTCATGATTCAGGTGAACTAGTTTGGTTTTAACAAAGAAAAAACAAGGAAAAAATATTTGCTAATGTTAACAGCCCTCTCACAGGCTCCTTTTCATCTGTTCAGTAACTGGAGACTCTTTCCAACATGGTCTTTAGCGCTTTCTAGAGATACGACTGTGACTTTGTTGGTCTTCATGCACTGGGTGTGTCTGTAAATATGGCGCTGTCCACGGTGTCTGTCCTGCTTCCATCCCAAATTCAGGCTTTAGCTTAAAACACCTTTAGTTTTTAAAAAAATTCTTTTCTTTCCCCCAGATAAAATCTTAATCTTTTGCACTAGACTGTTAGCCAGGGAAAACAAAGCAAGAAACCAGTGTCTGGAACCGAACAGGAACAGAACAAGAGCATGGATCTCCTTAAATACATACATTTAAATACATTCAATCTGACATGGGTATGAAATTTGCCTGTCAACATTTACTTTGCAGGAGAGATCTAAGTTGCACTAAGGTGAATGCAGTGAACAGACTGAGCGACTGTCTGGATGCGAGCTTCAGACTGTCAAGAGAAGAGGCAGCTCCTCCTGCCACAGCCGAGTGGATGCCACCCTGGCGACCAGGGCCCAGGCCTGTCTGCTCTGGCAGAACCGGCTGGCAGGTCAGTTGGTTCGAAACAAATAGACACAGCTCTCCAGACTGGAAGTGTTTTGAGCAAGTGAGCCCGGTCAGCTGAAGAAGCAACTGGCTACTGTCAGTGTCAGCAATATTTCTGTAGGAAAACAGACAGATAAATAGTTGTGAAGTATCTTTGAGGTTTTGATGAAACCATCATAAAGCCCATCACAAAAACATCAAAATCCCTGACTATTTTCAATAAAGCAAAGCACAGAGGCCGCATCTGGATGACTACATTCGATGTGGAGGTGAACAGGCAGAGGGCGCCATTCCTTCCTCCACACAACGCTTCCAGGAGCCAAGGAGGAGCCCAGCGAATCCTACATGCTATTTCTTACAGGCTATAGTCTGCAAATGGATGATGAATCTCATCTTAATGACCGCTCTCCAACCAACAACAACCTAGCTCAATTTTATTTCTCCCACCTTCAATAAAGATGACTGAACAATTCACGCAGCTGCTTTTTGGCAGCATCCGATCCAGAAGGGGCCACTGCTTCCTAATCCTTCCTCAAATTCATCCAGTACAAACCCTTCTTCTATAAAATGGCCCTCCTGATTTTCCCTAATCAGATGCTCCCAAGGTTCTCTGGGTGTGTTCTCCCTGGCTTCAGCAAGCTAAATCATGATGGATTTTGACTCCTGGGGTGTTCTTTTTTTTTTTTCCTTCCTTTCTTTTTTTTTTTTTTGAGACGCAGTCTTTCTCTGTTGCCCAGGCTGGAGTGCAGTGGCACAATCTCGGCTCACTGCAACCTCCGCCTCTCAGGTTCAAGTGATTCTCCAGCTTTGGCCTCCTGAGTAGCTGGGACTACAGGTGCCCACCACCGTGTCTAATTTTTGTATTTTTTGTAGAGATGGGGTTTCACCATGTTGGCCAGGCTGGTCTCAAACTGCTGACCTCAGGTGATCTGCTCACCTTGGCCTCTCAAAATGCTGGGATTGCAGGTGTAAGCCACTGCGCCCAGCCTCTTGGGGTGTTCTTGCTGGTTTTTGGCTGCTATGTGCTGATGATGTGAATGACTGAATACCAAAGGTTATAGTGAGCAAGTCATGTGGCATTGTTTCTTTGGTTGGTGCAAATATATCTGTCGATGATTTTCTTTGGCTACTATCTTCCTTCCAAAGTTTTCATTCACTTAGCAAACATTAATTCAGCATCTATTATATGGTAGGTGCTGGGATATATCCACAAGACATTCTTTGTTACTGCTATCACAAAAATTGCCCGACTAGGCAAGGCAGACAACATGGAGATTATAATTGTACCTTGCTACAAATCAAATTATCATAAATAACAACATGATCTGAGTTCTGTTAGTGGAAATACTGTCTGCTTTGGAAACATATAACAATTGCTTCTGGGATTTAGATATTTAGACACAGAATTCTAGCCCATCAGGGCCATTAGAAATTATCTAATGTAAGTAAGATTAGAGAGGAAGCCAGCTCCAAATAATGTATTTTACCTTAGCACCCCAAAAAGAGAGTTCTGGGGAAAGTATTGCCAGATCATGAGTTCTAGTGGCTAAAGGTGGAATTACATTAGCCCCTGGTCAGATGCACAATTCTCCTAAGCTTACAAAATGAGCTTAGAATACCTGTGATTTTACTTCTCAAAGAAGAACATTTAGCATACTTTATAATATAAAGCTGAATAGATATGTATTCCTAACTTGTGTCACTTTTATGATTTCATATAAAAACACTCCATGGTGCTGATTAAAATATGAAAACCTCTCAATTTTCCAGTTAGTCTAGAAAAAGAAACTACTGAGAAGTATTTATACCTATTGCGTTTCTGAGGCTTAGAAACTCTGTAAGGCAGTATTCTCTGGCATGGACTAACATCAAGGAGCAGCCACCGAACAGAATCAGTTTGATGGAGAACGCCGTGCTCCGCACACACCTCTGGAGTCGCACTACCTGGGGTGTACCCTGGCTGTGTCACTTAGGGGTGGGGGCCATTTTGTACCTAATACTTCTTAGGATGGTTGTAAGGATTACACAAAATGATGCACATGAAGTGTTTAAATAGTTCTTGGAACATCATAAGTGCTCACTAAATGTCATCACCACTATCACCATCATCATCAACTAAAAGCCAACCCTATTAGTGATCAATTTTCATAACACTAGTAAATACAAGTAATTACAAGAGAACCATGCTGCTGAGCAGTAAACTCAATTTTAATCTATTTAAATATATCTAAAATATAAAGAAATACTATAAGTTCTTATAAAAGGAAGAATCTTCTGGTTAGGTCAAATAACTGCCCTTCTCTAAATATATTTTTTTGGTAAGTCTATGGTTGTACATACTAGCTCTGCTTAAAGCAAGGTACCACTATAATTTCCAATTCAAGATAAATGGAACAGAGTCAATTAATAATGGATGACAGTAGTATCTTGTTCAACAAATAGAACCAGATTACCAGTAACAATTCTGGAAAAGAGCAGAGCACAGAGGCTCACGCCTGTAATCCCAGCACTTTGGGAGGCCGAGGCAGGCGGATCATTTGAGGTCAAGAGTTTGAGAGCAGCCTGGCCAACATGGTGAGACCCTGTCTCTACTAAAAATACAAAAATTAGCTGGGCGTGGTGGTGGCGGCATGGGCCTGTAACCCCAGCTACTTGGGAGGCGGAGGCAGGAGATTCGCTTGAACCTGGGAGACAGAGGCTGCAGTGAGCCGAGATCGTGCCATGCACTCTAGCCTGGTCGACAGAGACTCCGTCTCAAAAAAAAAAAATTTCTGGAAAAAGCTCCTTGATTCGTAACAGCAGCAGCAGAGCTTATTACGGAAACACAGGATGATGAATGAACCCCTATCAGTGTGCACATAAGTAGCACGGTGACAAATGCAAGTAACTTCCGGTTATTTCTGATGAATGAAAAGGGATATCCTATACAGATTATTCTCTAAAGGAAACAAGAGTATCTATGACAGACTGTTCTCTGGCCTTAACAATCAGCATGAAGAAAGTGCAGGTGGATGAGGCAGATTCAAGAGCAGGACTAGAAAAAAACAGGGAAAGTTGATGAGGTTATCAGTGGCCTGGGCAAGACAGTAACAGACAGGCACTGTGTCGCCCAGGATGGAGTGCAGTGGCTGTTCACAGGTGTAGTCATAGCTCATTGCAGCCTAGAACTCCTGGCCTCAAGCCAGCTGAGTAGCTGTGACTACAAGTGTGCCACCCACTGTGCCTCACCCGAAAGACGCCTTTGCTAGGAAGAGAGAACATCCTGTATTTACTGAAAATTGATGTCTTAGATCCTAACGCTACCCTTTCCATTTGGGTTTAGTGGGCCCCCATGGGGCACCAAGATGCACGTGAAGGTGAACCCCTGGTCCTACCAGCCTGCCGCGTGGCCCGCACCACAGGGCTGGTTGCAGGCCCGCCCCTAAACCCTCAGCCGGGCACTTTCTACCTTGGTTGATCTGGGTCACCAGTTCTCTAAGTCTTCAGGCTAGCTGGTGACCCTGCGTAAATTATCTCGTCCTCTGAGATTCAGTCTCCTCATCTGAAGCGGTGGGGAACCTTAAATATCTATGAAGGGCCTGGCACTGTCCCTGGTAAATTCGAGGCCAAAAGGTTCACTCCCTTCCCTTGCTCTGGGAGGTTCCTCCCTCCTGAGATGAAGAATCCCAATGCCTGGGGCTGAGGATGCTTCCAAAAATGTAGCTGAATATTTACTGTCTGTCCACATTGTTTATGAATATCTTTCTCATCCCCATAAGACCTAAATAGAGAAGGGAGTGGCACCAAAGAAGGAAATTATCCCTTGTTGGCCTTCTCCAGTGCTACCTGCATTAAACTCTTAGAAAAATCTCACAAGTGCTCAGTGTTCCCTTCAGGGAAGTGGCAGGAGGATGCAGGGTTAAGAGTGCATATTTGGGGTCAGCTGGCCTGGATTTAGTTCCCAATGTTGTAAGACCTTGATCGAGTCATTAAACTCTCGAAATAGTAGCTCTACCAGACAGTTGTGGTGTGTTTTAAATGAGGGAATCTAAGTAAAACTTTTAATGGAGAATAGGCTTGCAGTAAATGCTCAGTACATGTTGGTTGTTTCTGTAATTTTTTTAAAAGGCAGAATGTGGGACCATCTCAGTGTTCTGATTTTATAACAGCAGGATCTCTTCTTCTTGGAGGTTACATGGCAGCTGAAAAAGGGCACAAGGCAGGGCAGATCAATTCCTGGGGCTCTTGGGAGACAGGGGTGGCAGACTGGGCCCATGAAATATTTGAGGACCTTAACCTACAGAGTGGCTTTCTCGGGGCACCCGCTCTGCTGGAGCCCTGGCCTAGGCTGGCATGCAGCCACATGATGAAGGGTGAGGCAGGGAGGTCTAATCTCACTGTGGTGAATTCAAGGAGGGAGATGTGAGCCTGGCCTCCCAAATCCATTTTTCTCCCATAGAGATATGACGTGCTCAGAGGTTGAGCTCCCCGGCACTTTTGGGTTAAAATGGTCCCTCTGTGGGAGCCCAATTATCAGTAATGTCACTGTTCTTCTGGGAAGTGTGTTCCTGATTTCAACTTCTGCACATAAGCCATGACTGAGCTGTGTGGCTCCTTATTTCCTGTACTCAGTGGAGGAGAGAACAGAATTGGCACCAGGAAAGATACCAGCCCCTCTAGGTATGTACACACAACATCTACAGGACTCCCACCAACAGCCAGCACCTCTGCCACTCAGGACTGTGATTCTTAAAAACAAGAGAAACTGCATGGAGAATATTCACACAGTAAGTTAAAATCTGGAGCAAATTTATGCTATTACTTTCTCAACTTGAATGCTAGTATTAACCAAATCATCCAACATCCACTTTTTTTTTTTGAGGAAATTGAACAACCACCCTGTACTGTCTCTACTGGGGGAGGATTTTTTTTTTTTGGAGACAGAGTTTTGCTCTTGTCGTCCATGTTGGAGTGCAATGGCATGATCTTGGCTCACTACAATTTCCGCCTCCCGGGTTCAAGCAATTCTCCTGCCTCAGCCTCCCGAGTAGCTGGGACTGCAAGCATGTGCTTCTATGCCTGGCTAATTTTGTATTTTTAGTAGAGGTGAGGTTTCACCATGTTAGCCAGGCTAGTCTTGAACTCCTGACAGGTGATGTGCCCGCCTCAGCCTCCCAAAGTGTTCGGATTACAGGCTTGAGCCACTGCGCCTGGCCAGGAGAGGATTTTTTATTTTTATTTGTACAAATTTATGGGGGTACATGTGAAATTTCATTACATAATGCATAGCAAGTGATCAAGTCAGGGTTTCAGGATGTCCATCACCCAGATGCAACACATTTTTAACTATAGTTATGCTACTCTGCTAACATTACATTTATTCCTTCTAATTGTATGTCTGTACCCTCTCACCCACTTCTCTTCCTCCTCTCCTGCCCTCACAGTCACCCTTCTCAGTCTCTGTTATGTATTTTTCCACCCTCTACTTCCATGTGAATAAATTTTCTAGCTCTCATATGTGAGAACATGCAATAGATATTTGTCTTTTTGTGCCTGCCTCATCTCAGTTAAGATAATGACCTCCAGTTACATATATGTTGCCGCAAATGACATGATTTCATTTTTTTTTAATGGCTAAATAGTATTCTACTGTGTATATGTACCACATTTTCTTTATCCATGTATCCACTGATGGACACACAGGTTGATTCTATATCTTGGCTATTGTGAATAGTGCTGCAATAACCATGAATGCAGGTATCCCTTTGATATATTGACCTTTCTTCCTTTGGGTAGAAACCCAGCAGTGTGACTCCTGGATCAAATGATAATTCTGTTTTTAGTTTTCTGAGAAATCTCCATACTGGCTCTACTAGTTTACATTCTAACAGTATATGAGAGTTCCCTTTTTACTGTATCTTGCCAATATCTGTTATTTTTTGTGTTTTTAATAATAGCGATTCTGACTGGGGTACAATGGTATGTTATCTCCTTATGGTTTTTATTTGTATTTCTCTGATGATTACTGATGCTGAGCATTTTTAATATATCTGTTGGCCATCTGCATGTTTTCTTTCGAGAAATGTCTATTTATGTCCTTTGTCCACCCTTTTTTTTGAGACGGAGTCTCACTCTGTCACCCAGGCTGAAGGGCAATGGCATGGTCTCGGCTCATTGCAACCTCCACCTCCCAAGTACAAGTGATTCTCCCGCCTCAGCCTCCGTAGTTGGGACTACAGGCACATGCCACCACAGCTGGCTAATTTTTGTATTTTTAGTAAAGATGGGGTTTCACTAAGTTGGCCAGGCTGGTCACAAACTTTGCCCACTTTTTAATGGGATTATCTGTTTTATTCCTGTTGAGTTCTTTGTATATTATAGATATTAGTCCCTTGTTGGATAAATGGTTTGCAAATATTTTCTTCCACTTAACAGGTTGTATGGGATAGAATTTTTTAAAAAAGAGCTACCAATTGTGAAGGGTAATATCCCTTACCTTAAAGGGCCACATAGGCCCATTTACCTATGTGCCAAACTGCTCAGAGCTCTCCCTGCAAGAGATCTGCTGCTAGGTACATATTTCAATTAGGTCTAAGTACTAATTATTCTACAATTTCATTGGCTGAACATGGTAATATCATTCTTTTTAGAACACGTGTTTAACAGGCCAGGTGTGGTGGTTCACGCCTGTAATCCTAGCGCTTTGGGAGTCTGAGGTGGGTGAATCACCTGAGGTCAGGAGTTTGATACCGGCCTGGCCAACATGGTGAAACCCCGTCTCTACTAAAAATACAAAAATTAGCCAGGCATGGTGGCGTGTGCCTGTAATCCCAGCTACTCAAGAGGCTGAGGTAGGAGAGTTGCTTGAACCCGGGAGGTGGAGGTTGCAGTGAGCCAAGATCGTGCCACTGCATTCCAGCCAGGGCAGCAAAGCAAGACACTGTCTCAAAAAAACAAAAAACAAAAGTGTTTAAGGTGTAATAAGCAAATAATACAATAATATAAATAATACACTAGATTGTTCCTAAACACAAAGAAATATAGAAAACCCTTAGGAAGACTTAATTAAGGGAGTGAACAATGTAAGTTAATTCCTCTTTATCTTCCTAAAAATCTAGCCTTATAATTCAGAAAAAGCAAAAATAAAAGTTTGTCCTAACACAACTAATTCTTTGCCACTTTATTTCTTGCTTTGCTATTGTAGTATCATTCCAGGGCAAAATTACCGTTCTTTTGTTGGCTATGAAGATTACAGAAAAAAAAGATAAAAAAAAAAAAAAAAAAATTAGCGTTCTTAGTTCATATGGTACCATCAGCTGAGTTAAAATGAGCTTAAAGAAATTATCATTCACACAAAAGCACTGTATGCCAAATGAAACTAGAAGATATTTTACAACTATCTTTAATCTACTGGTTGACAATATATCTATGCCAGTTTTGGTCTATCAAATATTCATGTTTGCTTTACTTCCATATTCACATATTTCACTGTTCTTTCTTACCCGTGTTGTGTCTCCCTCCTGCTTAATCATATCCATTCCAGGCAGCTGGTTTGGGAACAGGTTGCCTCCCCTCAGAGCAGGATCATTAACCTGAGGACAAGAAGACAGGACAGTGGCTATGTGGAGCAGGATGTCCAAGAGTGCACTGGAAAACAAGGGGCCGCCGCCCTTCCTCTTTAGGGGTATAAAAACGGGGAAAAGGAACTGCAGAACAATGGACTGATCCCTATACCAGCTCTCCCATGTACGTATTTTGCGGAGTCCAGAGGAACATGAAAATACTTATGAAATACTAGCTGCCTTCAAAATTAACCTTTCTTTATCTGCACGCTGATTGAAATCAAATTCAATTTACTTAATAATAATAGAGCCATTTTTGTGCCATAACCAGTATGCTTTCTTGGCTTATTCAAATTACACTAATAACTCACATTTGGGACTTTCAAGTCATCTGAGAAGTTCCTGACATCTTTGCTACTTAGGCAAGTTATTAACTCTCAAGAGCAAGTGTGAATACCCAAACTAGTGCTGGATTTTGTGAATTTACTCTGACCAAATTTAACTATTCATTTGCATTTGTACATTTCTTTGCACATTAGAAAGTAAATGTACAGATGCTAATAGAATGATTTTTGTAGGAAGATACACTGCAGTTGCGCCTTGGGGCTTCCAAATTAACCACGGGATTCAAGCAGTTTAAAATCATGCAGAAGTTTCTAAACAATCTGGATTGTTGAAAATGCATGAAATAAACATGCATCAGTTTACTGCTGAGCAGACTGGATTAGGATCGTGTTACACTAGACTATGTCAGTAGCCCTTACTTTGTACACTTTTCCTCAGCAAGCAAATTAGGAGTCGCTAGTGGCCCATTTTTGCGGGAAATACAACATCAACCCTACATTTCTCCATTGAAGAAATAAAAGCATATATATCTCTCTATAAACACACGCATATATTTTAAGAGATAGGGTCTTGCTCTGTCGCCCAGGCTGGAGTGCAGTGGTGCAATCTTAGCTCACTGCAGCCTTAAACTCTTGGGCTCAATAGATCCTCCAGCCTCAATTTCCCAAGTAGCTGGAACTACAGGCACCTGCCACCATGCCTAGCTAATTTAAACATTTTTTTTTTTTTTTTAAAAGAGACAGAGTCTCACTATGTTGCCCAGACTGGTCTTGAATTCCTGGCTTCAAGCCATCTTCCCACTTCAGCCTCCTGAGTAGCTAAGCTTATAGGCACAAGCCAACATGCCAGGCTAAAAGTCTGTATTTCTTTATGTCTGCTCAATGTATCAAAATAAGCATTTAACTGCCATCAATTCAGTAACAGAAGTGTAAGTTATTACTATAAGCACACAACCTTCTTAAAATGCAAAGGGTTTTAAATTTTCTCATGTACCACTTCACATTTTTATTAATCGTTTTAAAGAATAAAACACCAAAGCTCTGTAATAGTTCTTAAAATTTTCACAAAAATTGTGATTCGCATCAGAATTAAATGGATCTAATCAGAGTCTTCAATCTTTCACCATTCTCACAATCTTGCTCTAACAGACATTCACAGAGCTGTCAGTGATTTCGTGCTTAAGTCATTTACACTTTCCATACTGTACTTTCTCCATATATGAAATGAGTCAAGGTCTTGCCACATTTTTTACTTGCGTGAACTATTGAGGATCAGCGGTAGAGTGGTCAGCATTTCGGGCCTTTAAAAATAAGATCTTCTGTAAATACCATGGTACAATGATTAACCTCTAGTTTTACCTCTGAATCAGCCACAGATTTTTGGATACCAGGCTGGCTATGGCTGTCTCAAATGCTTTGAGTCTCTCTGCCATCTAGTGAAGTTAGGAACAGAATCATTTTGATGTTGTTCAACACAAAACAATTATTTAAAAAAATCATTGCATTCACATTCCAAAGTAAAAAGAATAGTTTTTGGATTATCTGTGTCTGTCTCTGCATAAATGAAGCATCATTTCAAACTAACTGGATGGCAGGTAGTTTGGCCTTTGCTTTTCATCTGGTTTTACACTTAGAAATAAATCCATTATTAAACTATAATCCTCTAGCTGGGCATGGTGGTATGTGCCTATAATCCCAGCTACCCAGGAGGCTGAGGTGGGAGGACTGCTTAAGCCGGGAGACGAAGGTTGCCATGAGTCAAGATAGTACCACTGCACTCCAGCCTAGGTGACAGAGTGAGACTCTGTCTCAAAACAAAACAAACCCCCTCAAACGATAACCCCCAAATAAAGCTATTTTAAGAGTACACTCACCACTTAGAGATTCATTTTAGACACTGGTTAATTCCTCAAGAGAAAAATGTCAATGATAAGAAAGTTATGAAATATTTTAAAAGCTCCTCAAGCAGTCAGGAATCCTTTCTGTTTATTTAATCATTAATAAAGATTTTTATTAATGTCACTAATACAGGTGAAAGGTGAAAAACACTCCTCAAAATAAACGTGGGAGTGGGTGGTTAAGGTTAGATACATGGAAAGATACATTTGATGCGGAAGTAGACAAAAAGCCATGACCTGAAGCCACTGGGTTGCTTCTCCTTGGGCGCTCACCTGCTCGGGACCCATGGAGGACAGCCCCGACGTAGGCACGGAGGTCACTGAGGTCATGCTGATCTGTCCTGTCATCTGGTTCATGCTGCTCATGCCACCTGTGTTGGTCGCCATGGACACACTGATGTTCATGTTGTTACTGTACATGCTGGTGTTTGCTTGCTGCCCAAAGTGTGGTGGGGACTGCTGGGAAAACATGCTAGAATACAATGGAAAGATTGAATGAATGTTACAGCTTGCTGGTATCCAGAGGCAGGCAGTTCAGAGCACTTGTTTCTCAGGCATTTACTTTGAGTGAATAAATCTGAACGGCATGAACCCAGGCTGAGATGGCTGGCAGGTAGTGGGCTTGCTGAAGCCTGAGACAGCAGGGGAAGTGGCATTCGATGATACTGTCAGGGCAAGCAAATCCTTCTCCTTTTCATGCCGCCACTGTGATGGCTGAAGGACATCCCCCACTTTCATGCCTGCACCCGAGTAGCTTTCTGTTTGTTTTTATCAAATGTAGTGATAAAGGATGGCTTCTAGGTCACCGCCTTCCACAGCAATTTCTATCATAAATTGGTCAGTGGTACCTTCTTAGGGATGTTCTTGTTCCTCCAAAGGATGTTCCTTGCTAAGCTTTTGTAAATTCTAGTGACTCCTGTTCTAGGAAAAGTAAACTGGCTTATTTAGAAGTTTGCTTGATATTGCTTGCATGAGCAGACTTTAAAAAAAAAAAAAAAGAGAAAGGAGACAGGTAGTCTATAGAAAGTTTCCCTGGTGATCATTTATCTCAACAACACACAGAAACATGGTGTTACCTGTTTCCACCCATGCTCCCCTGTGCCCATCCATTCATGTCAGAGGGGGCCTGATAGGCTGGGTTGGCCTGAGACTGTTGCATCATGGGACTCTGTGTATGTGCCATTCGGGGTGACATAAGTGGGCTCTGGGGAGTCGTAGCCCCAGTAAAGCCTGGATCAGGTTGCTGACTTATTCCTTTAAAAAAAAAAAAAAAAAACAGAAACAGAAATTCAAAAGAGACTGTTAGTTGTATTGTAGAGACTGGTGGGAGGGAAAGAACATTCCAAATTAGGCATGCATAAAAAATTACTTTCAAATACATGATTGTGTACTGATTAATTACATACATTTAAGAAAGATTCCAAGCTCAGATAAAATATGGAGAAAATAAAATCTCCATACTGATTCCCCCTAGTAGTTAGATGGTGCCTAGGAAGCATTAACCATCATAGCTAGAGTTAGAAAGAAAAAATGCTATTCTTTCTTCAAATTCCTTTCCAAATCAAGAATGGGTCACATATTTTGATCAATGAGAAATACATACATACATATATATATATATATATATATATATATATAAATATCACTGCAATTAGATTGTTTAAATTAAGCAGATAATTATTATTTTGACACAGGGTCTTGCTTGCTCTGTTGCCCAGGCTGGAGTGCAGTGGCGTGATCATAGTTCACTGCAGCCTTGACCTCCTGGGCTCAAAGGATCCTCTCACCTCAGTTTCCTGAGTAGCTGGGACTACAGGCAGGCATGACCATACCCAGCTAATTTTTTAAATTTTTAGTAGAGATGAGGTCTCACTATGTTGCTCAGGCTGGTGTTGAACTCCTGAGCTCAAGAGATTCTTGGCCTCCCAAAGTGCTGGGATTATAGGCATAAGCCATTGTGCCTGGTCAGATTGTTTAAATTAAATTTAAATTGGATTAAAGTTCAGCTATATATCAAAAGTCAACATATTTGAATAAATTTTTATTGAATTAGCTGAAGCCATTCCATGAGATGGATCCATCTTTAAAAATAAATAGCTGTATTCATGGTTAGCTTGTTTTCTCTTTATAAAGAGCTCTGCAGTACTTTAGGGCTATCCAAGATTAGCAAGAATAAGAAAAAAATTAAACGTATGCTTCTTGTTCAGTTTCGAGGCAAACAGAATTTAAACTAAAAGGAAAGAGAACTTTTAGCAGACTTTTCTAAATCATCAAGAAGGAAATAGAGAAAGGAGCTGGGAAATGAAGGAGGCAACTTCTTAGAGTATTTTGAGGATGGTATTAAGTACACTTTTGCATAGAAAACTTGTAAAACATGCATATTTAATTAATATTTAAATCAGCCACAAAAGAAAAGCTTAAGATCACATAGAAAAAAGCTGCACATTATCTTTCTGTTCTTTAAAGAAACAGGAGAGTTGGATTTCGGCAGCAGACTTCACAGTTATTTACGGATAATTGGCAATGGGTAGGGAAAGTCATTTTGAATATTAACATTAATGTAAGCACTTACTTTATCAATAATTCAACCATTAACTGAACATGACATGCACACAAATATTAACGTTGATGACATTACACACTGGTATCTCTTAAGACTGACATTAAACAAATCAATATGAAGAGAACTAAGAGGTATCCCACAAGAATTACCTATTCATTAAAGATCTGGTATAATCTGTAAAGTATTTTTCAAAAGTCACAGAATGTCTATAATATTTAAATTTATAGAGGTCTTTTTACATTTTGTATCTATTGATTTGTTTAAGTCAGGCTCAGAGGCTTTCAAATATATAAATAAAAATATATATGCACTTGTAGACATTGACACAAACAGATACATCCATACACACTCTCACACAAGATAGACACCGTCTATGCACACACACTTACTTCGGTCATTCTTAAAGTAAGACCTGCACTCAGAGAAAAGGAGGTACCTGAGCTGAGGGCCTGGAAGGTACTGTGCTGGACTTGGGGACTCCTCACAGGCCCCAACTGTCCTCCCAGGTTTCCTATCATTCCCTGGTTAGCCAGATTCATCTGGGAGCCATGCAAAGAGCTGTGAGAGAGGAGCTGTGACCCAACACTGGGGGACACTGGGGAGAAAGGACTGGTGAAAGGTGGTGGGGATGTAAGTCCAGTACCGTAGTTTGGAGGAAATGGAAACTGCTGTGCATTTGCCTGGGGAATCCGAGGGTTGCTCATAGTTGCTGGCATACCACTAGGAGCCACCATGCTTGGTGTCATATTCAACCCCTGTCCTCTCATCATCAAAGTTCGTTGCTGAACTTGCTGTTGCTGATGCATCTGTCTCTGTCGAAGATGCTGGTTCAGAATTTCCCTCTGTCTCTGGGCCAGCATCTGTGCATTAATAGGTGCCTGAAATCAGGGGTGATACATGGAGGAAAATGTTTGGGACAGACACATATTAAAAAACAAAGTGAATATTATAGACCGGCTAACAAATGGTACTATCATCTGTAAAATTATTTGGAAAAAAATTACATGAAAGGAATAACTCAGCTGAACAACTGGTGATTGAGAACGTGAGCTTCTAAGTTCTAAAGACACAATTATTCTGAAGCTTTGCTATGACTTAGCAGAGTTAAGTTTGATGCTAATATCAATTATATCATTTTGTAAGGACACAATTAACTAAAGGATCTCAAAAGAACACAGTCCTTTCTATAAGAAGACTGTAATATAAACCCTGAGGATGGTAGCATAGAGTCTCATTCAAGGGACTTTGAAGTCTATAGAGAAATAAAATCACTGGGACAAAAAGTGACGTGGTGCACTTCAGAAAAGGCTGAACAGAGGCAGAAGGAAAAGGGGGAGAGTGGGGAGAGTGCCTGATAAGAATGCACAGAGACCAAGTCAGAGGTGGAGGGTGGATAGGGAGGAAGGACGGGATGGATGAAGGGAAGGGTTCCTGGTGCTTGCTGTCAGCGAGAGGCATGAGGCTGCTAAGATACCATTGATCCTCATTTATGAATTCCACATTTCCGAAGTTGCCTACTCAGTAAAATTTATTTGTAACCCCCAAATCAATACTCATGCCACTGTCATGGTCATTCGTAGACATGAGCACAGTGGTAAAACATTTCAGATATGCAATGTGCACACTTCCAGCTGAGGTTGCCTTCTGGTTTCAGCTCTCATACTGTAAACAAGCGTCCTCTTTGTGGTCTATTTGGTGCCAAGATTTTTGCATTTTTTGCTTTTCCTGTTGGTGATTTTGTTGCTTAAACTGGCTCCCAGGCATGGTACTACAGTGCTCTCTAGTGTTCCTAAGCGCAAGAGGTGGTGATGTGCCTTCTGGAGAAAATAGGTGTGCCAGATAAGCAAGCACCATTCAGGCCTGAGTTACAGTGAGTTCTTTAAACAGAAACACACAAAAAACAAGGTTATGTGTTGACTGGATGATGACAATGTTGTGACCAGAGGTTTGCAGGAACTCAACCCTGTATTCCTCCTAAGAGCAATAGTTTAGTGTTCTCTAATTCAGTGTTTGCAGTAACTTTATGTAGCACAACTTCTTAGAATAACAAGAATTGACTGTACCTGGCAATAAAAATGGCAGTGATTAGAAGGGAAAAATGTAACATACTAGTAGGTAACTGGGTGACAGTACAGGGCCAGTGTGCCGATCTGGATCCACATCTACTAAGTTAACTTTCTTCAGAGAGGAAGAAATGACAAAAGTAGCTGCATGCATACAATGATAATAGCTGGTATGCTGCCTTACCTGTGTTGGTACTCCAGGCCTCAGAGTCAAGTTCACATTGGAAACATTGCTGATTTGATTCATAAGTGGCTGGCGATTCTAAATACATACAAACAGGATGAATACATTTTAAGAACAGAATACATTTTACTTTAAGTTTCCCAAGTAACTGCCCTCCCCAACCCAGTATCTGTACGTTGTTGGACAGCTGTGCCATCTCACATCATCTTCCCCACATCCTCCACCCAGCACCCCTGGCTTCCCAGGTGCCACTGAAGAACAGACCTGCTGTGCTTGGAGGCGATGCTGAAGTTGAAGTCTCAGTTGATTTGGCTGGTTCTGCACTAGGCCCGTGGGCCTGAGGCCCGGTCTGGGCTGCATACGGAGTGTGGCATAACTAGGTCGCTGTCCCATGGTGTGAAAGTTTGGATCTTGCATGGGAGAATAGCTACCCTGGGCCATTTGTGCCTGAGACGCATACTGCTGTGGGAAAACAGGCGCCTTCTGCTCCAGCATGATGTTGGAATCCTGACTTGAGAACTGTTCTGGATCTACTGCTTGGCTCTGGAGAGAAAGTCCCAAATAACAAACAAATAAATTAAACCATGAAAACAGCAGAGTCAATATGAGGCTGTTTTCTCTCGCTGTCATACATTTGAAGCTTTTTATACTTTTTAATATTACACTTACTACACAAAGGTACCTTTAGCTTGACTCCACTTATCTTTCTAGAAAATGGCTCTGCTCACAGTTCCGGTTACACAAGGACAGAAGCGGGGGTCACACTGGACTCCCAGCAGCACTTCTTCCAAGGGAAGGGGAAAAATGCGCCAGGACTACAGAATGCCTCCTACCCACTCCACCAATCATATTGGCCTGGACTTTCACATGCAAATATCTCCCGGAAGTGTTATGTTTTTTGATTGATTATTCATACCTGTAGAGTTCATTTTGATTAGATAACCTCTTTGGCACCTGACTGGAATCAGCAGATGCAGTGTGGGGTACGGACCATCATTATCCTGATTTTATAGCTAACAAAAATGAGACTTAAAGATATGAAGTGAATTGCAACAAGCCCTATTCAGCTAGTATGTGGTGGGGGTCCATTTCAGTTTGTGATTTGGGATCTGAGCTTCTCACCAGTGTGACGCGCTGCCTATTACCTACTTTACTGTTTTCTGTGCCTGTCAGGATTCCCTACATGCCCCACATTTTGCCATCATCCTCTCATTACCTACTAGACATGGTTTATGTGTCTGTCACTCCTGACTTTTTTTTTTTGAGACGGCGTTTTGCTCTTGTTGTCCAGGCTGGAGTGCAACGGTGTGATCTCGGCTCACCGCAACCTCCGTCTCCCAGGTTCAAGTGATTCTCCTGCCTCAGCCTCCCGAGCAGCTGGGATTACAGGCATGTGCCACTACGCCCAGCTAATTTTGTACTTTTAGTAGAGACAGGGTTTCTCCATGTTGGTCAGGCTGGTCTCAAACTCCCAACCTCAGGTGATCTGCCCGTCACAGCCTCCCAAAGTGCTGGGAATACAGGCGTGAGCCACAGCGCCCAGCTACTCCTGACTTCTTAGGGCTAACCTATCTACCTGGGTCAGAATGGGACAGGCGAACAAACCCAGAACTTCCCCGGGCTCCAGGACACCTCAGACTGAGGTGGCCCTGAATGTTTATGTGCCGAGGGGAAAGGCGGACCTGGCTGATTCTCCTTTTCCTTCTACTTCTAGCAGTAACTGCTACAAACTTAATGGTATACAGGAAGAAAAGGCTCTAGCAACAAATAAAATCTTTCAAGCTTTCCGTTTTTTTTTTTTTTTTGAAGCAAAGTCTTGCTTTGTTGTCAGGCTGGAGTGCAGTGGCGCGATCTCGGCTCACTGCAACCACCGATTCCCCGGTTCGAGCAATTCTCCTGCCTCAGCCTCCTGAGTAGCTGGGATTACAGGCGCGTGCCACCATGCCCAGCTAATTTTTGTATTTTTAGTAGAGACGGGGTTTCACCACGTTGGCCAGGATGGTCTTGATGTCTTGACCTTGTGATCCACCCACCTCGACCTCTCAAAGTGCTGGGATTACAGGAGTGAGCCAACGCGCCTGGCCTCAAGTTTTCTTTAGCTCAGTGGTGTCCTAGGCCTTCTTGAAAATCGTCTACCCATGTAGTGCTGGAGCCGCCCGGAGCCCTGAGCTCTGATCAGCACAGCCCTAGGGCCAGCCTGTGATAGTCAGGGGCCCACTGCCTCCCTGTGTTAATTCTAAACATGGGGATGGAGCCTAAGCAGAGGAAACAATTCATTGCTGAATTACTGCTCTAACTACACACACAAAACTATCTCAGAACTTAAACGTGAATATGAATAATTTGCATTCTATACTTCCCTCAACTCTACCTAATAATCATATTTCTATAATTCAGTTTCATGACAATGTTATAATGATGGTGGATTTGATGAGACAAAATAGAAATAACAGAAATGAGTGAAAAACGGACTAAAAATATTAAATGACACGACACCTGTTTTGATAACATTACAAGTCACTCAGCAACTCCACAGATCACATTTTAAAATGTCACTTAGACAAACTCAAGGATAAAATAGTACTGAGTGCTAAATTCTAACTATCACTGAAGACAAAGCAAACCAGTCACACAGGAAATATTTAAACTCCATTTTCCTTTCTTAATTTATTTTAGGTTATATCATGTAACCTCAAGTCATTTCTTTCCATTCTGCTGTTTTCAATATGAATTGATAAGTCATAACTCCCACCTGTGTCTGCTCAACTGTGGGAATTATGATAAGACTAATTTTAATGTTTCAGAGAATTCTCCAATGACTCTGCATTGCCTTTCTCTCAGAAAGATGATGACACGTCACATGGCCAAGTAGTAGACTGGACACTGGCAGGTACTTTTTGACAGTAAGAAATAAAGATGATTCATGCTAAGTAAGGAGGAAAACAGTAACTAGAATGAGATGGTTTTTCTGGGTTACTCTTTACACAGTAAGCCAGGCTGCACTGCTTCACACAAAGTTAGCTGTGCAGCCAGTTCAGATAGTGTTTTGTTCTTTCAAGGGACTGTGTTAGGTTATTTATTATATCATTGCTATCAGGTACTCTAAAAGCAGGGACTTACTTTTTTATAGTAATCAACTAATTACTTGGAAGAAGAAAGCTAAATAAGCTCACTAAGATTAGTTAACTTTTTTATATTCCCATTTGCGCTTAAATATCCCCAAAATTATGGTGGGCTAAACCATAAGTGAAAGGAACTGTAGCTAGGACTATAGGTGTGTGCCACCACAACTGGTTGCTACATTTTATTTTTTTGGTAGAGACAGGGTTTCATTATGTTGCCCAGGCTGGAGTGTAGTAGCTTTTCACAGGGACAATCATTGCACAGTGCATCCTTGAACTCCTGGACTCAACCATAAGTGACAGGTTGAGCCCGCCATTTTTAAAGGTAAAAATGATGAAAGAGTTGCAGCTACCTGTAAAATGACTTCTGCTAACTTGTGTATGTGGAAAGTATTCTTTTAGCACAAACAGCTTCCTATCACTGGCCCACAGGTGTGAAATGAATGCAGTGGTCACGACTACAGACACTCACACCAGCTGGAAGCCCAGAGGGAAGCGTCCTAGGTCACAAGGCAGCAATGTGCTGTTTGTGGTTTCTCTGTATCTTGTGTGTCCTTCCCTATCAGCAAGGATGGACACCAGGTGAACTGGACTTGAGTTTGTATCTTTCTGCTAACTTGAACTGTATGCAAAGCTCATTCTCAGTGCTCTCCATTCTCAGGCAAAAGTTTACAGGGCCAGCCTGTTTTGAGGTAAAAAAACAGTATATTCTAAAAAGCAGACTGTGGAGTAACTGTAAACAGCAAACGGACACCTCTGTGCCCATGAGAACGCTTGGCCCCCACCTGCTGCCCTTCTGCGCATACCTGGCTGACCAGTTCAGGTATTCCCAAGGCTCTGTCAATCTCCTCCAGGCCATCAAAATTCCGCAAGGCCAGATAGAGCTGGTCCAGAAGAGCTCCCTCATCACTCGGAGACTCAGCTGCAGGATGTGGACACAGCAAGTCATCTGGAGAACTGCCAAACGGCTGCCTGTAAAGATAGAAATGTTATCTTGGGCCAGTGGAAAAGCTAGTTGATTAGAGAACAAATTTTTTGTCTCAAAGGTGAAAGTATAAATTGACTTCCAGGGTCGTTGCAACAAACTACCGTACCAACTCAACAGAACGAAAGGATAGTCTGAAATATTCGATACACTTTATTCAGTGCCCAATACAGGCCAGACACAAATCTAGACATTTAAGGTATGATTTTTATTTCTACTGGTCTCACTTCACGGCTTGCAAAGCTGAGGCTTGGTGAGGTGAGGTCCACATGGATCTGTGCAAGTCCAGGGCTCACCAACCTACACTGACTGCTCAAGCATGTAAATATTCACTTGGCATTGAAGCAACCAAAGGACTTTTCTGCACTTCAGTAGGAATCACTGATTGACTTAAGATTCTTACTCTACAGGAAGCTGTGATGACCCACTTGGGAGAGACAGAGAACTAGAGGCATCAGAGCTGCATTAATTTTCTTGAACTCAGCTGCAGCTAGATTAAATTTGGCTGGGCTGATAGGAAATTTCTTAGTCATGCACAAGCAGGCCTTGAAAACATGTATTTTTCTCCGAGACAGGGTCTCACTTCATTGCCCAGGCTGGAGTGCAGTGGTATGATCATGGCTTACTGCAGCCTCGACCTCCCGGGCTTAGGTGATCCTCCCACTTCAGCATCCAAGTAGCTGGGACTACAGGCACGCACCACCACGCCTGGCTAATTTTTTGTATTTTTTGTAGAGATGGTGTTTCGCCATGTTACTCAGGCTGGTCTCGAACTCCTGAGCTCAAGCGATCCACCCACTTCGGTCTCCCTAAGTGCTGGGATAACAGGTGTGGGTTACCATACCTGGCCTGAAAACATTAAAACCCTCAAGAAGCGTATCTGTTAGCCTTCCTGCATTAGGTACATAAGGAAAGTGGATCATGAACATGCAAATTATATTTGTTATTATATAAGATAATTGGTGATAAAATCAGAACACCAAACTCTAGATTACATGGTACATACAACTCCTATACATTTAAATTAACTGTCAGAGTAGAGGAGGGGTGTGTGTGTGTGTGTGTGTGTGTGTGAGTGTGAGTGTGTGTAGTGATGCCACCATGGCTCACTGGGCTCAAGTGATCCTCTGGCCTCACCCTCCTGAGTAGCTAGGACTATAGGTGTATGCCACCACAACTGGCTGCTGCATTTTTTTTTTCTGGTAGACAGGGTTTCATGATGTTGCCCAGGCTGGAGTGCAGTAGCTTTTCACAGGCACAATTATTGCACACTACATCCTTGAACTCCTGGGCTAAAGGAATCCTTCTACCTCAGCCTCCTGAGTAGCTGGGACTACAGATGTGATGTGTGCCACCAATCTTGGCTAATTTTTATAAATTTTTTGTAGAGACGGGGTCTTGCTACATTGCCCAGGCTGGTCTTGAACTCCTGGACTCAAGCAATCCTCCCACCTTGGCCTCCCAAGTGCTGGGATAACAGGCGTGAGCCACCACATCTAGCCTAGAGGAGGCTTTTAAAAAAGAGCTTCTGAGTTGCCTGAATACTAAAATGGAAAATGGTATTTGTACTTTACCAAAAGTCTATTTTATTTTATTTTTTATTTTTTATTTTTTTGAGACGGAGTCTTGCTCTGTCACCCAGGCTGGAGTGCAGTGACCGGATCTCAGCTCACTGCAAGCTCCTCCTCTCGGGTTCATGCCATTCTCCTGCCTCAGCCTCCCGAGTAGCTGGGACTACAGGCGCCTGCCACCTTCGCCCGGCTAGTTTTTTGTATTTTTTAGTAGAGACGGGGTTTCACCGTGTTAGCCAGGATGGTCTCGATCTCCTGACCTCGTGATCCGCCCGTCTCGGCCTCCCAAAGTGCTGGGATTACAGGCTTGAGCCACCGCGCCCGGCCGAAAATAAACTTTTATAGATTAAAAAACAAACAAAAAGTTTATAGATGAGCGAACTCATTCTTAAGCAAGTGAGAATAAACTTATCAAGAAATGAAGTTACCTATTAACACAGTTCAATATGCCATATGGTTTTTAAATGCTCTAATATGCTATTTTGGCTTAGAATCCTGAAACACTGAAGTACTAGCACTGAAACCAATAATTAATTTCAAATGGTCATAAAGGAATGCATTAATAACAACTTATTCTGTCTACTCACCTCTAGCAACTTGGAAATTGTCCAGCTGAGGGTCCCTGGAGGCCACTCCTCACCTGCTTCCCTGACTTCCTGGCTGCAGGAGCTCCTTGTATTTCTGAGGGACCCACCCAGACCCCTGAGAGGCAGGTGCTCTTCCCACTCCTGCCCCTTTCTTGTCACTACTGGACTTCACAAAGTCACACATGCTGGGAGCTTGCTGACTCTTTCCTCCTGCTTCTCTACAGCCCACACTCTCCTAGAACTTTCTTTAAACCAAACGTGATCAGACTGCTCCACTACTGCTACACTTAGGGAGGGGGAGGAAGAAGCAGATGCAGAAAAGCAGTCAGGAGAGGGAGAAACCACTGAACTGTCTGCCATGATAGCAAAGAGGGAAGGAGATTCCTCAATGAGGAGAGGCCAACAAACATGAATGTGGCAGGAGTTCCATGAAACAGTTCAAGTTAGTCAAGAGTAATGTCAGCTATTTACCAAATTCTCTTAGGCAGCGACCTCATTTCCTAAAAATACTAGTTAAGTTAGGCATTAAAGAATTTTCTTTGCCTAGATTTTGTCATTTTCAACTTGTTTCTTTGGAAGCTGCATTCATATGCAACCCTCCCATCCCAAATGTATTCAGTGATGGCAGGCTCGTGTGAAATCTAATGCATGCAGGTGGCACAAGCAGACTTTCCAGCCTCACATCTGGCGGAAACCCACTGTCAGAAGGAGGCAGGCACTGTCTCGTGCCTTTGTAAGACCACTCCACCCTGACAGACCAGCAATACAGCCAAATGCGTGTTAACAAACAACTAAAACAATCATTTGAATTTAAACAATTTCCTACATCATAAAATCACTTTTTGTTACATGCTTTTCTTTTTCAATTAAAAAAACCCCAAATGAATGCAGAGATTAAAAAGTTAAAACAGTGCATCCAGGCTGTCCCATTTTGGTCAAGGCCCTCTTCAACACAAGCTGGGACTCTCAGGACACTTTGCCAACAACTTTCCTGCTTGCATGATATCTCTGATTCTAATACGATGCTCTCAGGTTCCCATTCCCAAAGCACACTTTACTGAGCAAACAGGCCCTCCTCAGAATTCTTATGTGGTTCTTCAGCTCTCCCAGGAAAATGCCCCTGGAATGCGGTGGTAGTGGTGGTAGAATTCAAGGACACATGCCTTTGATAACACCTAACCTTCCGAAACTTAATGTTCATGCCTTCCCTGTGAGCCCCAGCTATCAGGGGCAGCTGATCTTTCTCCAAAAGATGCTACACATACCACCAGAAAACCAAGACCTTGTCATTTACCCCATCCTTCCCATGCGCTTCTCCAGCTGAGGGTCTACTTTCCATTGGGGCGCCACCCATCTCCTCACAGACCGCCCCGCTTTCTCCTCTCAGCATTAAACCACTTACTGTGCTATGCTGAATTGATACTAACAATTTATGTTAAAAACACAACTTCACACCATGCTCACAAGGGGCAAGCATTGCATCCTCTACCTCTTTTTGGCTCAGTGCTTGAACATAAACACAGTATACGTGCAGTAAGTTTCTAGTGGATGAAAACAAAAGGTTCCTGATTTGACTGAGCTACAATACATTAAAAACCACTTTTATATTCAGAAATACATACTGTCTTGTGGCTTGGTGTTACAAATTTGGGCATATCATGAGTGGTATCACTTCCCTTAGAGATGTCATAATATGCTTGCTAACAGAAAAAAATACTGATCCAGACTCCCAATCCCAACTTTATAAATGGCCACTAACACAATGAAGAAATTATTTTCCTACATTTTGGGCAATTATATATAGTTACAACCTGGATAGTATCTGACAGATAAATATAATAAATATAATATTAAGACGAGAATGGAATTCAGAGTAATAAAGGGAAAAATAACACAGGCCCCAGGCTGGTGCAAAATAATAGGTAATAAACAAGCAGAGAAGAGATCCTGATATCAATAGAAATCCCATACCTTAAAGTCTACATGTTTATTTATGGACTAGTAGGTCATTAAGTATGGGAATAAGAAGGAGAATTAGGTCAAATTCTCAGCATCTGTTTGAGAAACCATAACATTACCATTTCTTCACTTTTCAAAAGTATTTTCAAAATTCTGCAAAAAAGCAGCAGCTACTGAATGATGAGAAATAGTCAACAAAAGAAACTTTACTTACAGATACATTTCAAACAGGAGAAAATCAAATTAAAATTGTGAACTTAGGCCTGGCACGGTGGCTCACACCTGTAAGCCCAGTACTTTGGGAGGCTGAGGCAGGTGGATTACCTGAGGTCAGGAGTTCGAGACCAGCCTGGCCAACATGACAAAAGCCTGTCTCTACCATAAATACAAAAATTAGCCAGGCGCCTGTAATCCCAGCTACTTGGGAGGCTGAGGCAGAAGAATCACTTGAACCCAGGAGGTGGAGGTTGCAGTGAGCCGAGATCACGCCACTGTACTCCAGCCTGGGCAGCAAAGTGAGACTCTGTATCAAAACAAAAATTGTGAACTTAATGCAAAAGGAAGTCCTTCATGAAAGACAGCTATTGTATTTCAAGAGAAAACCCCTTTAATAAAACCAACAGAAATCTTTAAAAAGTCATCTATAAATTTTGACTATATTATAAAGAACTCTTTTATATACCAGATGAATGAAGGAAAAAAAAAACCCATAATGGAACTAAAAGTGGAAATTAGCTATAAATAAATGAATATGTGAATGTTACAGATTTAAGGGCTAAACTACTATCTTTTTGAAATGTGTACATAAACTAAGGCTGGATTCATCAAACATTAAAAAGCCTGTTCCTAAACATTAACTGTGATGCTTATAAAGGGGATTTTTAAAAAGCACTGCTCTTCTTTTATTTCAAAAGAGAGACATAGTTAGAACTTTTATTACCCATTACTTCTGAATTTCTATGACAATAAGATTACCATAAAGCTGGTCGTAAGTTTCTTCCACACTGAATTATTTAAAATAAAAATGTGAGAGTGGCTAGAAAAACTGAAATAACTTTAAAGGTAATGAAAATGTTTTGTTTTGTCCACACAGTGCTTATGCAAAAAACCTAACTGATGGCAACGGAAACGACATGCTACGGCAGTGCTGAGTCACAGACACTTGCACAGCAAACTTAACATGCTGACTCTATTACTGGACCAAGTATAATTCTGGACTTGCTTCCTTTTTTTTCTTTTTTTGAGATGGAGTTTCGCTCCTGTTGCCCAGGCTGGAGTGCAATGGTGCGATCTCGGCTCACTGCAACCTCTGCCTTCCGGGTTCAAGTGATTCTCCTGCCTCAGCTTCCCGAGTATCTGGGATTACAGGCATGTGCCACCATACCTGGCTAATTTTTTGTATTTTTAGTAGAGACAGGGTTTTTCCATGTTGGTCAGGCTGGTCTCAAACTCCCAACCTCAGGTGATCTACCCGTCTCAACCTCCCAAAGTGCTGGGATTACAGGTGTGAGCCACCGCGCCCGGCTCCATTTTTGTTTTAACAGCGCTCTCCTCCTATTTGGGCAACACTAAAAATCCTAATTTTGGGCCTAGTTCTTCCTAAAAATTAATCTTTGACATTTCATCCAAAAACAACTATCAGGTGGTGGATTTAATTATTATACATTTGTCCTGTGTTATATTTAACTTTCCATGGAAATGGGTGGGTTTCTAACATATCAAATAAACATATCTAGAAATAGCCTACCATTCACTGACATCATGAAATCAGAATCAAAGAACAAGAGGGACTGTGAGAAACCACCATCTCCAAGTATGACAGCAGTTCCGAGATCAACAGCAATGGCTATCTACCTGGGGCGCGCTTCCCTGTCTACACAGCACGCGCCTCCCACTGCCCTTGGCAGCCAGTTTGGGATGAGCCACGCCGCCTGCCTGAGGTTCTTCCTCTGTCACCCAATGCCTCAATTCTACTCACAGCAGTCCTTACTCTGGGTCTGTGATGTGCAGCTTTTACCAGCTGAACTGGCTTCCTGTCATCTCTGCCATCTGAAATCAGACCTTTTCTTCAAGACTCTGAAGCCTTCTCCAAGCATCCTGGTTGGATAATCTTCTGAAACGTGGCTTATGATTTTTATACTGAACACTACCTCAATACTACAGTTATCAGCATACATATTTTATTTTCCATCTAATTTGTAACTTCTTTAAAGGCATGTCCTAGGTCATACTGATTTCTGGATTCACCCCTCCCCTTCGTGCACTGCGTAGTAGATAATATAGTCCAAATAAACCAAAACTGGTCAGGCACCAGCTACTCAAAAGGAAAAGATTAATTTCTGGACAGGTATAAAACAACTGGCTACCCTAGGTGCTCAGGACTCACCTGTTTTGGCTGGCAAAAGATGCCTGGTCTATAGGCAGGATGCTTTCAGGCCATGGGGCAGTCTGATTTGGAGGAGCTTGTTGCTGGCTATACTGAGGTCCCCCCATGTTCATCTCTAATTCAGATGGCCCTAGAAACGGAGAAGAAAAAAATCTTACATCTTTAATCAAGGAAGCATTTATTTCTGCTATGTAATATAAAGTGAAATGTCTGGTTTATGAAAAAGGGAAAACACAGAAGCAGTAATAATTAACTAGGTGAAAATAAGAAGATAAAATTCTGATTCTGAAATAGAAGTCAGTAAATATGAAGGCCATTTCAGAGAATATCTAGACAAGCAGTTCTAAACCTTTAGCATTTAAGACTCTAAATACTCAAAAAGTTTTTGTTTGTGTGTGTTACATCTTATTGATATTTACTATATTGGAAATTGAAATTCAGAAATGTAGATTCATTTAAAAATCACAATAAATGAATTATATGTTAATATAAAAGATTTTTTTTCTAGATCCAAGTGAGTGGAATAAATAAGATTTATTGAATGCAAAATTAAAAAAATTCTTTTATTGGCATTGTTTTACATTTCTGCAAATAGCTTTAATGCCTGGGTTAATGGAATAGAGTGAAATCTTGTTTTTGCATTTCACCTGCTGTGATATCATATAGCATGTAAAATTTCTGGAAAACTCTACCATACGCTTGGGCGATAGTAAGAGTGAAGAAGGCAACAGTGTTTTAGGATTAGTATGAAAATAGTTTGGGCCTTGCAGACACTTCCTGACTGGGAATCAGGGTGCTGGACCATGTTTCTAGGAAGCATGTCGAGACTGCTGGCTCCTGAACGTCCACTAACTGTACTTCAGCTGGCTCCCTTACCAGAGCAAGAGCAGAGCAGAAAGGAGGCCCAGACAACCCACACATGCTCTTTCTCCGAAGTTCTTTGAAAGGCTTTAAAGCCAATGGATGAGATGAGCTTTTAAAAATTATATTATCGGCCGGGCGCAGTGGCTCACGCCTGTAATCCCAGCACTTTGGGAGGCCGAGACGAGCGGATCACGAGGTCAGGAGATCGAGACCATCCTGGCTAACCCGGTGAAACCCCGTCTCTACTAAAAATACAAAAAAATTAGCCGGGCGTAGTGGCGGGCGCCTGTAGTCCCAGCTACTTGGGAGGCTGAGGCAGGAGAATGGCATGAACCTGGGAGGCAGAGCTTGCAGTGAGCCGAGATCGTGCCACCGCACTCCAGCCTGGGCAGTGGACTGAGCAAGACTCCGTCTCAAAAAAAAAAAAAAAAAAATTATATTATCATCATTATCTGTAGACCTGTATTCCATTCCAAAAGATAATTTTCTGTTGAATTCATGGCTTTTGGAATTTACTAAAACTCAGAGAAACTCAGCTATACAATAAAGCTTATAGAACTGTATTTCCAGCTTAAGAGCCAGATGCTCTTCAATGAAGACTGAGAATAAATTACATTTCTGGATATAAGGTACTATTATGATTTTTAATCAATAAATATTTTTAAATTTCTCATTTAATTTTGCATAGAAATCGGTTTTTAGCGTTTTTTATGCTGTCAAATTATACAAATTTATGTTTGAGAACCACTCATTAAGTACATTCAATGTAGTAAGGCAATGTAAATGCCATCTCTGAGAAACAGTAAGCCAAAATATGCTGAACAATTAAATAGGTAAGAAAACTAATGCCAAGTTAGGATGAAAATTCTATACTTTGTTCTACACTTTGTCTTGTCAAAACAACCCTGGCATCTTTTTTTTTTTTTTTTTTTTTGAGAAGGAGTCTCACTCTGTTGCCCAGGCTGGAGTACTGGTGTGATCACAGCTCACTGCAACCTCTGCCTCCCGGGTTTAAGCAATTCCCCTGCTTCAGCCTCCTGAGTAGCTGGGACTACAGGTGTGTGCCACCACGCCTGGCTAACTTTTGTATTTTTAGTAGATATGGGGTTTCACCATGTTGGCCAGGCTGGTTTTGAACTCCTGACCTCAGGTGATCTGCTTGCCTCAGCCTCCCACAGTGCCTGGCATCTTTTTTTGAATTATTTAGCTCTTCCTCATTGTGCAATATCTAAGTATATGAAAAGAACATAAACATTAACTTATTGGAATTATGCTAATGTACAAGAGGAGGGCTAACATGGCAATGATAAAGGACATAATCTCAAGCATGAGTTGTACAGACCACTGATTTTTAAAATATAACAGCTTTATTGAAAGATAATTCATATAACATACAATTCACCTATTTAAAGTGTACAATGAGTTTTAGTATATTCAGAGTTATACAACCATCACCACAATCAACTTCAGAACACTTTCATTCCACCAAAAAGAAACCCATTACTCATTAGGAGTCACTCCCCACTTCCTACCTGAGCCCCTCCCCTCAACTCCTGGCCCTAGGTAACCACTACTTTACTTTCTGTCTCTACAGATTTGTCATTCTGGACATTTCATATAAATGGTATCATATAATGTATCAGACCATCAATTTTAATAATATGTGAACTGTCTCCAAATAGAATTCTAGCAATCCTCACATTCTGTGAGATGTTCTGTAAGACCTTGTAACCTTCAGTGAGGGCCTGGGAGAGTCTGATTTACCAATCTAGGTGGTGGCCCAGGAATCTCCATTTTAAGTTCCCGATATTGTTCTGATGATCACACAGCATTAGAAACCACTGCTGTACCACCGAACTATTATTATTATTTCTTTCTGAGATGGAGTCTTGCTCTGTTGCCCAGGCTTGACTGCAGTGGTGTCACCTTGGCTCAAGGCACCCTCCACCTCCTGGGTTCAAGTGATTCTCCTGCCTCAGCATTCTGAGTAGTTGGGATTACAGGTGCCGACCACCGAGCCCAGCTAATTTTTGTAATTTTAGTAGAGATGGGGTTTCACCATGTTGGCCAGGCTGGTCTCGAACTACTGACCTCAAGTGATACTCCTACCTTGGCCTCCCAAAGTGCTGGGATTACAAGCGTGAGCCACTGCGCCCTGCCTATTTCTTTATTAATAGTGTGACGTTATAATTCACTTCTCCCCCAAAGTTGAAATTAGGTAATTTAATAAAAATAAAACATCTCAAAAGTAGTTGGTTCTCTTATATAACCTTTGAGATTCTGATTCCATACAGAGTTCCAGCAAAATCTCACTTATGGCAGCTTCAGGGGAGGATTATCTAAAATGCACATAAGAAGCCTGTCTTGAAAGAACTTATGGAGCTGATCCTCTTGTCTAAGAGAGCATAAAAGTTAAAAGCAAACAGCACTAGAGCCGCCTTACCTATATTCATGACCTGAGACTGAAGCGTCTGTCTTTGGCCAGGCTGGCTGCTGGGCCTCATGGGGATGCTGGCCGCTGGGTTCCGAATCATACCTCCTTGGACTGGCCGGTTCATGGCACTGGTGGTAGCAGCACAGGTGACTCTCACAGCCGAACTCTGTGGTGCCCATTCTCCAGATGGCATGGTAGGCCGAGAAGCACTGCTACCAATCATTCCTGCATGCAAGCCAAAGAAAACTGAGAGATGCAGTAACTGAAAACATATTTAGCATGTATGAACACCAGATGATCTTAGCCTACAAAATAATCATTCTGTAATTCACACTTATCCAATAGCTAATGTTCTCATTGGCCAGATGTGGGCCCTTGGCTAAGAAATAAGAATTGGCAATTACTACACAGTTTTCATAACATGGACTTGCCACTCTTTACAGTTCAGAAAAGCTGTTAAAATTGTTCCCATTTGTACTTAGAAACAGGTGCCGTGGCGTGTGGATAACCCCAACTTCCTTCCTCAGGAAGTGAATCACATTAGCTGATATACACGTCAATGCTTTACTTTCCAAAAGGGAGGTAGAGGCTAAGAGGAACAAGGTAAAAACTGATAATCAATACTCTCATTATAAACGATAATCACAGAAGATATCTTGAAGTCTACATGAGACTTTATCCTCAAATCTCCTTCAGGGTATACTTCAAAACTGACCAAGAGTAGCCTCTAAGTAATGGAGAAATTATAGATCTTTCTGATAATTACTGTAGTTCTTCATAGCCAAGACAAGGGAGTTCCTTGCCTTGTATCCACTGTATTCCTGACTATACAGACCTAGAATGGGTTAGGACAGATTTGTAAAAATCCCTTCCTTTTTGAGGTGTTAAGAGTTATCTGACCACACATAAGAGCGTAATGCTCCTAAGCAGGACTGTGTTTGCGCTGTCCTGGCCTGGCCCCCAGGATGCTGATAATGGTCAAACATTTGCTAAGACTTGATATTCTAAAGGGGGAACTCTTCAAATGAGGTCTCTTCATTTTGAAGTGTTTAATGATGGACACATAAAGGTACTGCTTTCAAATATATGGCTGCTTTCATTTTCTTTAATTACGATAAACAACTAAAAATGGGGTATATTTAACAAATGAACATGCATTGTGGGCGTTTCTTCACTTCTGAAATGAGAATGTGCTGTGACGATGATTAAGGGTGAAAGGCAGTCAGTTAGATTTTAAAAAGTTAAGAGGCCAGGCACGGTGGCTCATGTCTGTAATCCCAGCACTTAGGGAGGCTGAGGTGGGCAGACTGTTTGAGCCCAGGAATTCGAGGTCAGCCTGGGCAACATGGCGAAGCCTCGTCTCTATAAAAAATATAAAAATTAGCTGGGCGTGGTGGCAGATGCCTGTAGTCCCAGTTACTCGGGAGGCTGAGGCGGGAGGATTACTTGAGTCTGGGAGGTTGAGGCTGTGTTGAGCCGTGATTGCGCCACTGCACTCCAGCCTGGGTGACAAAGTAAGACTCTGTCTCAAAACTAAAATAAAAATTTAGAAGGGTATTCTATTAACACATATTTTAAAAAACATTTTAAAATTAGATTTGAACTATAGAAAAATATTATGGGAAAAAGGGATTTTATTTTTTAAAAAATCTGTTATCTAAATAATATGACAAGTTTATAGAAAGTCTAGAAAGCAAAAAAGAGAATGATCCATAATTCAACAATAGTACTGCAATGATAACTGGGAAAGTCCCTCTCAATCTGTGTTTTTTTCTTCGAGATGGATTCTCGCTCTGTCGTCCAGGCTGGAGTGCAGTGGCGTGATCTTGGCTCACTACAACCTCCGCCCCCTGAGTTCAAGCGATTCTCCTGCCTCAGCATCCTGAGTAGCTGGGATTACAGGTACATGCCACCATGCCCATTTAATTTTTGTATTTTTAGTAGAGATGAGGTTTCACCATGTTTGTCAGGATGGTCTCGAACTTCTGACCTCGTCATCCGCCTGCCTCGGCCTCCCAAAGTGCTGGGATTACAGGGGTGGGCCACCATGCCTGGACCAGTCTATGTTTTTTTAAACAGCGTGAGGGTATTGTATGATCTTCATAGCCTGGACACCAGTGCTCTCTCAGCTGCTGGGATTTTAATACAGGCCTAGTCTCAAATTCCTGCAGAAGATTCCTAGAAGAACTCATATCTTCTTGTATTTTGCTGGTAAGCCTTAGTAAGTCATGGCTCCTTTTTCTCTTACAGAACTTTACATAGATCAATATTTTATTTATCTTAAATTTTAAATTAATCTTTATTTATGAATATTTAATGAAATGAATATGACTGACTATATAATTAGTGAAGCAGTCAGTGAACGACACACGTGGCAGGCACCCAATAAATATTTGTTGAAGGAATAAGTTACCTTAATACAGCACAGTTCACAGTTCCCATGAATTCCTTACAAACAACAGAAAGTTCAAAATCTATGTCTTCCCCTTACATTGAATTCTTATATTCAGTTAACTGTCTAAACGGCACTCAGTATGTGTACAGGGATACAGGCTTGACTAAAAATAAAATACCAAGAGTTAAAACACCTACCACTATAAATTCTTCTTAAAAGATTTCTTTCTATGCCTTTGTTTCTGGTGACTCATTGAGACTAAGAAAGAAAGCTATAAACTGTGAGCAGCTCTGCATTAGAAAACCCAGCATTCTGCTATATCCATAATAAAAATATGTTACAGGGTACAGGATGTGGATGTGGTGGCAACAGCAATCAACGCTACTGCAACGACTTCCAATCTGAACTGGATGTAAGCTTGGGAATATAATGGCCACTGAGATAGTGACTATTACCTAGGAAATGTGCCTACGCAAATTGCCGGACACCTGAAATTAGAGCAGATCAATGCCCATACCTGATCACAAGCAACTTCCTACATCTTCAAAAGGGAGCCAGGAACCATATCTGAAAGCTATTAGGCCAGGCATATTACTGTTTAAAGTTCTTTATTTTTAATTAGTACTTTTTGGAATAAGAATTTTATCACCTAGAAGTATAAAAGGTTGGTTGAATTTTAAGCTCTTATTCTGAAATTCTCCAAACACAAATAATCAATCCATAAGAAGTTTTGGGGGTATCAGTAAATTATCCCTGGAATAATTTTATATATACCCTGCAATGCCTGTAACAGTAACTGGGATAGAAGTGAAATAAGTCTCAGCTACAGGATTAATGGTTGGAAACCTCATAAAAGTAACAATCACAGAATTAAATGGTTAGCTCACTGGAAAGGCTTTCCCATATGCCATTCTCACAGTGAAAATCTGTAGAATTTTCTCACTTTCAGATGTTTTCTAACATAAAAAGTTCACTTGAAAAATCCTACTAGTTTAATGTGGATAAATATACCATTAAATAACCCACCAATAAAGTAACAGTGCATTTGAGCCCTTACCTGTGCTATTGTTCCCTAAATTTCCTTGATTTCCTATCATCCCTTGATTACCCATCATTCCTGGCTGAGGTATCACTGAGTAGGGACTACTGTTTCTGATTGGTGGGAAAGGTCCAGCACCAGTTGGGCTTTGCAATGTGATGTCAAGTGGTAAATTCTGGTTTGGCAATAACCTGCCCAGTTGCCCTGGTCGTGGGTTATTAAAAGCTAAGGAGAAAACAAATGAAAATTGAAGGTTAATATAGGATAATGGAAAATAATATTAACAGTAGTGTTTAGGGACAATGTCTGTAAAATGACAAAGGTATGCACGTCAGAGACCAACTACCTAGACAAAAGACAAAATCACAGACAAAAAACACATGCAGCACCCCAAAGCATAGATGTGTGATCTAATCAACTGGTCTCTAATTCTTGACGATCTTGCAAAACAAAACAAAACAAAACAAACACATATATATTATTTACCATATACCTTCCTCACCAATAGTAATATTCATTCATTCATTCATTCATTCATTCTCTCTCTCTTTTTTTTTTTTATTCTGAGACAGAGTTTTGCTCTCCTTGCCCAAGTTGGAGTGCAATGGCGCGATCTCGGCTCAGTACAACCTCCACCTCCCAGGTTCAAGAGATTCTCCTGCCTCAGCCTCCCGAGTAGCTGGATTACAGGTGTGCACTACCACGCTTGGCTAATTTTTTTTTTTTTTTTTTTTGAGACGGAGTCTCGCGCTGTGTCACCCAGACTGGAGTGCAGTGGCGTGATCTCGGCTCACTGCAAGCTCCGCCTCCCAGGTTCACGCCATTCTCCTGCCTCAGCCTCCGAGTAGCTGGGACTACAGGCGCCCGCCACCACGCCCGGCTAGTTTTTTGTATTTTTAGTAGAGACGGGGTTTCACCATGTTAGCCAGGATGGTCTCGATCTCCTGACCTCGTGATCCACCCGCCTCGGCCTCCCAAAGTGCTGGGATTACAGGCTTGAGCCACCGCGCCCGGCCTGAAGTTTAAAAATTTAAGTGTGAACTCTGTTGCCTAAAGCAGTATTAAATTAAAACTGTAGGGCCCTGCTTACTTTTCAAAGTACAGCTTCTTTAAATTCTAGACACATTTGGATTTGATACGATGAGTGCAGTGGCGCGATCTCGGCTCACTGCAACCTCCACCTCCCAGGTTCAAGAGATTCTCCTGCCTCAGCCTCCCGAGTAGCTGGATTACAGGTGTGCACTACCACGCTTGGCTAATTTTTTTTTTTTTTTTTTTGAGACGGAGTCTTGCTCTGTCACGAGACTTGAGTGCAGTGGCGCGATCTCGGCTCACTGCAACCTCCACCTCCCAGGTTCAAGAGATTCTCCTGCCTCAGCCTCCCGAGTAGCTGGATTACAGGTGTGCACTACCACGCTTGGCTAATTTTTTTTTTTTTTTTTTGAGACGGAGTCTTGCTCTGTCACGAGACTTGAGTGCAGTGGCGCGATCTCGGCTCACTGCAACCGCTGCCTCTAGGGTTCAAATGATTCTCTTGCCTTAGCCGCCCGCCTAGCTGGGACTATAGTCGCGCCACCACGCCCATCTATTTTTTGTATTTTTAGTAGAGACGGGGTTTCACCATGTTAGCCAGGATGGTCTCGATCTCCTGACCTCGTGATCCACCCGCCTCGGCCTCCCAAAGTGCTGGGATTACAGGCTTGAGCCACCGCGCCCGGCCTGAAGTTTAAAAATTTAAGTGTGAACTCTGTTGCCTAAAGCAGTATTAAATTAAAACTGTAGGGCCCTGCTTACTTTTCAAAGTACAGCTTCTTTAAATTCTAGACACATTTGGATTTGATACGATTTTTATAGCTAGTTGACAAGAATTTATTGTGTACTAAGGACTACACCAGCATCACGTTGACAACCTATAATTTGTTAACATTATTAAATTTAAAATACTAAGATATTACAAATTATAGCAACTTATTACATAATATCAAGTACTTTATTTTTCCTGAATTATATAAACAGTCTGAAATAGCATATTTAAAAGAAAAAATTCTTAACCATCAATGACAAAAATAAAATATTTTTTAAAATTAGGGCTGAGAATGGAAATTATGTGCATGCTTAATCATGACTTCCTCCGGTTTGGTTATCAGGTTGCCATCAATAATTTAAATACCATCAGGAGCTACAGAAAGAAGAGAAACGGTGAATTCTACATAGTCCTTCATTACCTCCCCTAGGGCTAATAAGCATAGACTGCCTAGTGTGTTTCTTTTTTTTTTGAGACTGAGTTTCGTTCTGGTTGTCCAGGCTGGAGTGTAATGGCATTATCTTAGCTCACTGCAACCTCCAACTTCTGGGTTCAAGCAATTCTCCTGCCTCAGCCTCCCGAGTAGCTGGGATTATAGGCGCCCACCATCATGCCCAGCAAATTTTTTGTATTTCTAGTAGAGATAGGGTTTCACCATGTTGGCCAGGCTGGTCTCGAACTCCTGACCTCAGGTGATCCACCTGCCTCAACTTCCCCAAGAGCTGGGATTACAAGCATGTGCAACCGTGCCCAGCCTGTCTAGTGTTTCTTACCCAGTTCTCAACTCTTTGACTTCATGATCTCCCATGATCCACAATTAACTCTCCATTGCCTAAGAAAGAGTGAGGTTTGAGAAGTCACATGCAAATCTTTCTTGTGTGTGTGTGTGTGTGTGTGTGTGTGTGTGTTTTTGAGATGGAGTCTTGCTCTGTCCCCCAGGCTGGAGTACAGTGGCGCAATCTCAGACCGCTGCAACCTCCACCTCCTGGGTTCAACCAATTCTCCTGCCTCAGCCTCCCGAGCAACTGGGATTACAGGCGCCTGCAACCATGCCCAGCCCAAACTCATCTTTCATTTTTCCTATTTCAGAATGGTCAGAAATCACTTGAGAAAAGACCTAGTAATTAAAGACGTTCTATGATTTGACTGATGGTTGCCATTTTTGATCTGAGAACAAATGCCAGGTATTGGCTCAAATTGTATCTGAAAAGCAAAAATCATTGTTTTGCCAATTTAACGCTGAAGAGGTTATCTATCTTTCATAAATTATGGCCTTGCTACATAACAGATACTTTCTTCCATTCAAAACTATCAGACAACTTCAGGTATTAATCAAGTTTGTAAACTGAGTGTTCACAGTAAATAACGAGTTTATCTTAAGCTTACAAAACTTTAAAATGAAAAGATAAAAGATGTTTTTTCTAAACAGACAATTTAACTTAGAATACATTTAGAAACATAAAGTTCCACGTCAAGTGATGTTTATATAAAGATGCCTAAGATAGGGCAAGATTTTTAATGTGTGTAGCCCTTTCATGTATAATAAATACTTTGAGTAGAATATTTTATTATTTTTTTTCAAATTTATTTTTTGTTACTTCCAGCTGAGCAGTTTGGGAGAGTAGAATATTTTAAAATAGTGTATTATCCCTAAAAAAGTCAGCATAGCTCCCAAATGTTCTATATTTCAGTATTTCATTGTCTATTAAACACATAAAATCCAGGATAAACTCCATGTCTGAAGGTAGTCACTGAAATGAAGGGAAATATGACAATCAGTTGAAGAACTTCATCAATGTAGGTCAGTCTCCCTGTCCAGTGCTGATTAAATTAACCCACAAGAGAATGTGAGAAAATCATGCTCAGGAGGATCCATTTTGAATACTGTTTCAAAAGACCAAGACAGTAGATGGTGCTATTTGATCACAAAAACCTTAAAGTGACTAAGCTGGTTGCATCAGACTTCAATAATCCCTGTTTTTGATAGTGATTATATGGAAATTTCTTGGCATAACCAGTCATTTCTCATACTCACTGCTCTGTGAAATTCTCAGTGCTGTTTTCTGGGCTCCAACAGGTGTGACAGGGCTGTTTTCAGCTGTGAGTTGCATGAGGTCATTGATGATGGCTTGCTTGTCAACTGATCCAGCAGGGGCGCCTGGCCTCGTGTCTGGGAAAAGCTGTGGTAATTGACTATTTTGCAAATCATCCAAAATCTCCTCCAAGTTGTCCAGCTCACTGCCAGGCTGTAGTTGACAAACAGAAGAGTTTATCTACTCTTTAGAGTAGACACCACAAGCCCATTTGCAATCATTGACCTAACTGCCATAAGGCACCACAGCCAAATAAAATAGGTAGATTCATGCATACCTCAGGCCTAACATATAATTGATCATCTTTTAAAAAATTAAGTTACCAAAGGACAAGTAATTTAATCTTTTGGTCCTCAATTTCCTCATCTATAAAAAGAGATGGCTGAATTAGAAAGAAAGCTCTCGTTCAGCATTGTGATTCATTGGCAATTTATAAATTCTCCTCTATTTTATGCTTATCATTCAATTAATTATGAGAATGTAGATTTCCAATTAATTATGAATAGACTATGACTTACGGTCCAGGTCTAGGTTTTATCGTCAAAACTCCCTAAGAAATAACAACAACAAAAGGGAAAAAAACTGGCATATAATGTAATGCAAATTTGCACCCAATCAGTATTTAATAAATGGTCATTTCGTTTCAGGATTTTCTTTTTTTTTTAAATCTTTAAAAGAACACAGGTGTGGGGAGAGAGAAGCAAAGTAAGCTTGAAGTAACCATGAACTAAGCACTGTCTTTTCAATTTAAGTGGTCCTTTTTTTCTGTTTGGACTTTCAATTTTGGATGACAATGGCTTTCCCAGTCATTTGCCAGGTTAGGTGACAAAGGTAGGGAAGCAGGATAAAAACTGGTTGCCCCCAAAGACAGCACTATTAGTCTACTTATAGAGAAGCTATGATTTTTTTTTTTTTTTCTGAGAAAGGGTCTTGCTCTGTCACCCAGACTGGCATGCAGCAGCACAAACATTCATCCTCATAGCCTTGATCTCCTGGGCTTCAGTGATCCTGCCACCTTAGCCTCTTTAGCAGCTGGGACCACAGGCATGCACCACCATGTCTGGCTAATTTTTTGGTTTTTTTTTTTTTTTTTTAGAGATGGGGGTCTCATTTTGTTGCCCAGGATGGTCTCTGAGCTCAAGTAATTCCCCCGCCTCAGCTTCCCAAAGTGCTGGGATTACAGGAGAGAGCCACTGTGCCTATCTACAGAAGTCATAAAAAATGTTTTCAAGGTTTCTCTTCCATTAAAAAAACCAAAATTCAAGCATTAACATAAGCTAAGTATCACCACTATTTCACACTTAATACTTTTCTTCTATGAAGCTAAACTGGAATTTATTCTAGATTTTACAGATATTCTTTTAAATATAACCAATCTATGTGGCAGATATTTAAAATCAGATAGTGCATGCTAGGATTGCTTTCTAGTGCAGAAAGTAGTATGAACGATTTTTCTTGACGTGCAGGTGGACAACATAAGTTAGTTTCCTCAGTCATTGGACTTTGAATCCTTGACCACAACTATTCCTTTCACCTACACTGGCAAATCAAATGAAATACATGGCGTACATCTGATAATGAGTTACACTTAAAGCAGGATGGCTTACATTTTTATCTTACATACAATTCTTCCCCATGCAGAGGTTGGATATGCTAAGATTTCTGCAACTTGCAGCAAATGTAACATCCATAATAGATGTTTTTTGATTGGATTTATTTCTCAAGTTAGGAAGAACAGAATGAAGTGACATTTTATTTTATTCTTCTCAGAGACAACTAGCTTAGCAATAACTGGGAGATCCATTTTCCTAACGCATTGTTAGAGCAATTATAAGACCATTTTTTAGTTAGTTTAGCCACTCAATTCTAACAAAAGAGGGAGGTATCAAATACAGGGGAATTAGTTATTAGTTAGCTGGGTTTCAAAGTTAGCATCCTAAAATACAGACAGTCACAGACAGGCCAAATGATCCTTAAAGCTCTGTAAGAAGGCACCACACTGACTGTCTCCTCCAACGGCAATAGTTTCCTCCAGAGCAGCAGCAAATTACTATTTCTTTGGCTGAGTCCTAAGTGAAGTAGTTTATGTAGGGGCCATGCTGCATTTTAAAAGCCCCTAGGTACATGTTCATACTATTAGAGCCACAAGGGAACCAAAACCCAGCAAAGTCATGTCACCCACCTCATGATCACTCCACTACGGCATGTATTCATTGAGTTCAGTGGTGGGCAAAACTGCTCCTACTACTGAAATTACCATTTAATAACCATCTGTTCTTCCAGGAACATAAAACTGACTTTATGTACTTCGAATACATGTGTAAAGCTGACTCCACTGTAATCTTCTTTATCATGTTTTGCTGAATGCATAAGGTATAAACTGATACTCTCAGTATAAACATGTATTGCCCTCCAAGGACAGCGCCTGGAACTAAGTAATGGGCACTGAGTCAACACGATGAATTCTTTTAATCATATTAACACATAATTTAAAAAATCTTCCCCAAATCAGTAATTTTTTCATAGGAATTCCTATAATTTCCATTACTTTTTCAGAAAATGTTTCATAAAAATGTGTGGTAAATTTCCTTATACTTGTCATGTAGATCAGAAAAAGGCTCTAACAAACTGAGGTTATATCTGCTCTATGAAACCCAGTTTCCCTACTACAATGCTGCCCTGTGTCGAGCAATTTTAAAAGGTAGAAGCTCCGTGTGTGGGGGTGAGGGAGGTGGGCTATAATAAGTGGTAAGTTGCCTCTTGAGAAAGCTCTGCAGATTACTTTTAAGAGAAATATCCAAAATAAATAGATCCATGTAAACAAAAGTAAAGTATGTTACTTCTCAATGGATACATTTATATTTGCATCAAATCCCAGACATGTAAAAGAAACCTTTGACAATATATATTAAGAACAGTCTAGACTCACACTTTTCCTTTTTTTTTTTTTTTTTTTTTGAGATAAGGTCTCACTCTGTCACCCAGGCTGGAGTGCAGTGATGTAATCTAGGCTTACTGTAACCTCCGCCTCCCAGGTTCAAGCAATTCTCCTGCCTCAGCCTCCCCAACAGCTGGAACTACAGGTGTGCACCACCACAACTGGCTGATTTTTGTATTTTTAGTAGAAACAGGGTTTCATCATGTTGGCCAGGCTGGTCTTGAACTGCCAACCTCAGGTGACCTGCCTGCCTTGGCTTCCCAAAAGTTTTGGGATTACAGGTGTGAGCCATCACGCCCGGCCTAAATACACTTTTCTTAAGAAAGCCATTCAGGATCTTCTTAGTATCAAAAGGAACTAGTTCTATGAAGGCTTTTAACTATGAACACTATTGGAATTTATTCAAGCTTAGCATCTGAAAAATGCATTATGAAGTTTTCCCCACTAGAGATAATATTACTTTGCCTGTGTTTATTCCTTGTCAATTTATGGAGTACACATTTAATGTTGTCAGAAGTTCACTTTACATGCTCTTCTTCAAGGAGATAAAGTTCAGAATATCTATACCCCTCAGGTTAACAATAACATCTGATGACTACAGAATTTTTTTCTGTATTCACTTAAGTTTTGGAAGGAATAAATCTGATTACATTAAGTTTCTGTTAAAAAATTTTCTCCCCTCAATTTTTGTAGGCTTTAATTCTCATCAAAGTTCTTCTAGTCTCTATCCACTTTGTTAGGCACAATTTCTTTACAAGACAAAAAGATTAATGCCTTCCTTTAAAATGCTTTGCCAAGATACTTTAAAGTTTTGCTTAGGCATCTATTTGAATGCTCAAATTAGCCACATCAATTTGAGTTGTTAGTTTAAACTATTTCAGGCAGAAAATGAGTCAGAAAGATTTTTATAAAAGTTCTACAAAATGAAAATCAGACTTGATTTCTTTAATTTTTCATTTTTCTGATTTTAGGATTTTTTCATGTCAAATCAACTTGTTCTCTGCAGGAAATATAAAAAGCACATGCATTTAAACAACATCAGTATTCTAATAAATTACAAAGCATCTTTTCAAAATATTTTAAATAAAAAGCATAATTTTACTGTACTTGTCTAACACAAAGTTGTTAAGAAACGGTAATACAATTCTACCACATCTGGAGAGAAATTTTCAGGATACTATCAGTTTAAAATATGGTTGCCTTTCTAATGGAGTCAAATGCCAAGAAGAAATTCCTTTTAGACTATTTCCAAACCTTATTATACATGTCTCAGCAGCATTATAAAGGACCCAGTAGTATCACTGGATTAAGTATCAACCATGTTCCACTGTGTAAATAAGCATGTAACTTAAAAAGTCTGTAAACATACTGGAAATTTTTCTGTTACTGTTTCCTGTTGGTTAGGAAATGCTGTAGAAACAAATGTTGTTTAACCACTCTGCCTGGTAAAAAATGCTATTTTGGGTATAATAGCACCATCGAAGTACTTCCTGTCCTTAATAAGTTAGTAATAGGTTAAACACACACTCAATCAATGGCTCTTTTCTGAATCAAAATAACAAGACAGTTAACTGTGCAATTCAGCCTCACTAATAGTTTGTTTTATCTCACTAAATAACTTATTGTATTCAAGTGAAGTGGAAGAAGTCTTCAATAAGTTTGTACAGCAATCAATAGGAGATGTAATTAACCTGCATTTGGAAATAGTGAAGGTGAGCAAGAGGTGAAAGAATCATTGTTTTTTTCTTAAAGTCAGTCATTCTAACTTTGATCTAAATATAGGTAATGCACATTTCCTGTGGTAACTTTTCAAGCTGCAATGTTTTTGATGTTAAAATTGCTCCAAAGCAGTACTTCTGGTGGAGTTTTACATGAGAGTAAAGGGAGGACGAGACCAGCCACTGGATTTCATTAAGAAAAATATACTTACTATATGTGCCTCTGTGTGCACGTGCATGTGTGCCTGTGCACACTGCTTTTTGATTCACCCAAAGTGACAGATTTGTGATTACACTCTGGACTTTTTGTTTCCTAGGTGAGATAATTTTTATCAGAAAAACATTTCTCCTAAATAATAATCTGAAACTGCAAGTGACTCAAGGACTTTTTAAAAAAGTCCTCTTTTGTCAGTTTTTTGTTTGAAGTTAGTGCAATCACATAAATAAATATAGAAATACCAAAAAGTGGCCCCTTTCCTTGACCCTCTAAGTCCCTGGGGACTCAGATCAGGCCTGGGATAGAAATAAATTGTTTACAGAGGGAAGGCCTGGCCACATTAGACACTAAGGGAGACCATCTCGCCCTCCAGCATATGTCAAGAGACCGGAGTGCCACTGTCTGTGCCTGCCACTCTGGACTGCCACTAGCTGTGTAGATCCTAATCTAGTAAACCTCAAAAGATTAAAACACTTACAGGTGTTAATATGGTTTTACATTTCACTTTATTCAAGACATTGCTATTAATTTTCTGCTGAGACACCGGTTTCCCCATTTGATGATTTTACAGCGTTATGGAATAGCTTACTAATAGAACCTTGCACTAACATTTAAGTTTAAGGATTAATCACCCAAGATGTTTATGTAATTTGGCTCTGCCTCCCTTGTGAAGGACATGAAGGTTTGAAAAATTATATCTGACCTTTAGGAATGGTAGCAGCTGTCAAGACATCAAAGTGAAAGAAATAAGGAAGCCAAGTGCTTAGAAGCCTAGATGGAGCCCAGCTAAAAGAGCAAGTGTGGCCTCGGCATCCCTGACGATGGCTCTCAACCCCAGACCTGCCTCTGGGTTAGCTCTACCGACTCAGCAGAGCTCCAGGGTACAGCAAGGGGTGTACTTTTCCTCTCTCCATCCATTGAAGACACTGACAAATGAAATATCCTCTTGCAAAACAAATTTCAAGGACAAAACTTGAGCCATTTAAAGAAGGAAGGCCTCTTGGCTTCTTCACTTTTTAACCAATCACGACTCAAGAACAGATAAGAAGTACAGGGCATATTCAGGGACTACAGGAAAGTGATGGCTATGGTGAAGTCTTGGATCATTGATTCCCCAGGAAATGTCTCATGCCAAGTCACTGTGGCTGTTAATAACCCATGTTTTCTTTAAATGGGTTTTTATTTCTTGAGACAGGGTCTCAATCTATTGCCTAGGCTGGAGTGCAGTGGTGCAATCATAGCTCACTGTAGCCTCCAACTCCTGGGCTCAAGCAGCCTCAGTCTCCTGAGTAGCTGAGACTACAGGTGCATGCCACCACACCTAGCTAACTTTTCATGTTTTCTAGAGATGGGGTTTCATCATGCTGCCCAGGCTGGTCTTGAACTCCTGTCCTCAAGCAGTCCTCCACCTTGGCCTCCCAAAGTGTTGGGATTAGAGGCATGAGCCACTTCACCCAGTCTGTTTTTGTTTTTTAATAAAGAAAAATAATAGCTTACTTTTTCTCTGTGATGTCATTATCTCCTTAGAGGATTATCAAGAATGATTTGGGGTGGAAGGTTGAGGAGATGTTGATCAAAGGATACAAATTTCAGTTAGTCAGGAAGAATAAGTTCAAGAGATCTACTGTACAACACTGTGGCTACAGTTAGTAATGATGTATTATATGCCTGAAAATCACTAATAGATTTTAAGTGTTTGTACTCCAAAAAGTGTGTGAAGTAATGTACTTGTTAATTAGCTTGAGCTAGCCACTCCAGGATACGTATTCCAAAACAACATGTTGTATACCATAAATATATACAATTCTAATTTGTCAAGTATAAATAAGAATTATTTTGAATATCACTTAAGGTATCTTGGATTTTTTTCAGGGAATTTATTTTTCAGACAAGAAGAGCACATAATGTAGCCTATTATTCTAGTTTTGAATTTACATAACATGGCTCAGATGTACTAATGTCAATTCAACCTTTTTCTCTCCTCTCTACTATCCTTTTCCCTCTTAAATATTTTTTATACCAGTGGTCTAAGAAATTCTTTTGCATTAATCAGAAGTTTAGTTAAGAATAAAGAGAAGTATAATGACCTTCATTGGGTTTCAAAACCAGTTAAACTCTGATCTTATAAAGAGAGAAAGGTAAATAAGAAATAATTCAATTAAGTCTGTTCTGACAAAGCCCAGTTTCAAGGAAGTGATTATCTCCAATTCAGGCAGCATCTATAACAGAGGCTAGCAAACTACCACCAGCCTGTGGGCTAAATCCTGTTTTTGTATGAGCTAAGAATGAATTTACATTTTTTAATGGTTGAAAAAACTTTTTAATATTTTGTGACACATGATAATTGCATGAAATTCAAATTTCAGTGTCTATAAGCAATGCTTTATCGGAGCAAAGTCATATTCAAGTTTGTTTAAACAGTGTCTGTGGCTGCTTTTGCACTACAATGGTGGAGTTGAATGGTTTTGACAGAGACTATATGGCCTGCAAAGCCTAAAATACTCACCATTTGGTCCTTACAAAAAAAGGCCTGCCCACCCATGTTCTATAACAATTTCACTCTTTGCTAGGAGAGTAGTTGAAACACACAGCTTCAGTGAGAGTTTCAAGGTAAGAAGAACAAAGGAGAAAGCTTATTTTTATCCAATCACCTGAGACTTCAAAATGCCCCTATGGAGAAAATCCTTGATGGATACAGATTAGTACACCTGCGAGAAGACATGATAAAACTTACCTGGTCACCAGGCTCAAAGCTCATCTCCTCCTTCTCAGTTTTCATTGCTATTAATTTTGTGTTACTGGCAGGATCTGTCTTACTGTCCAGACGCTCAAGTTTGGGGGTTATTTCTGGTAAACCAATATCTTTAGTATCATCTTTATCTAGCAAATAGCGAAGTAGTGCATTCTCTTTCTTCTTGGGGCTCACCGGTTCCTGTTTAATAGTCACTTCTGATCCAGGAGCTGTGCTGCTGGACTCCTGGCTCAGGTCTTTGCCTGTGGCTTCTGCTGTTAACTTGGCCAAGTCCACAGGGGAACTGCTGTCCTGCAACAGTCTGTGCAAAATTTTATGCTTCTCCTTGAGCGAGGTTCCATGTGTTGACCCAGAACCAGGCAAGCTACCTGTGGAGTCTTTGTTTGTGTCCGACAAAGAGCTGGCTAAGGGCGAGGGCTCCATCTGATCAGATTTGGTGGTCAGCAGCTGCAGGAGTTTGGTCTGCCCTTTGCTGTCGTGCAGTCTGCTCTGCCCGTCGGCTCTCTCGCCGCTCACGGTCGGGGGCAGGTTGGGGTCATTTGTTTCCTTTTGCTCTCCAGGATGGCAGCTGCTCTCTGCTTGTCCAGTTGTACCTTCAGAGGGCTCCCCATAAAGTCCAAAACAGTCTTTTGAGTCCAAGCTTCCCATCTTGCTGAGTGGGGGAGGATTCATATTAACTGGGGAGTTTTGCAAATTGCCCATTTTTAGGTCTGGTGAAGCCAGCGATGACCCTAATGAGACCCCATGCCCCTCGCTGAGGGCCTGAAGTGCATTGAGGGAGCTGTTGGTATAACTATGGCTATTTCCTGTGCTGCTGCAAACTCCCACAGGGGAATGCAAGCTTCCTGCAGGGGAAAACTGACTGGGTGGGATTCGAGGGCTGCCAGCCACTCCAGGGCTCATGCGATGCCTTGGTGAAAGCATGGAGGTGGGCTGTCCTGGATTCATGCCAGGGCTGCTTTGTGAGGGGCTATTCATTTTGAGTGCATAGTTACTACCCTGAGGAGTGGTTGCTTGCATGCCTGACACATGGTTCATTCCCCCAGAACCACCAAACCTGCCCATGGGCATGCCCATTTGTTCCTTTGGGCCATTTATGGGAAAATTTATATTGCTACTGAGGGTCATGTCCTGACCTGGGTTCCCACTGCACAGGGCCTGATGGGCAGGGCTGCTAGAGCTAATTGGATTCAATGGCTTCCCCATCGTTTGTCCAGTCAGATCCGGATTCATCACACACACATTCTGCTCTCTGTATAATGAGAAAAGAAAGAAATGTAAGATAAAAAGAAAAATAACTTAGCAAATTGTTATTAATTTTTAAAAATGAAATGGCCTCTTCGCTTTAAAAGAACAGGCTATATTTTAAGGATAGATAATACTTTGTTGAAATCATCTGCAATTATGGACAAGACTGAACACGTACAGTGTTGGACCAAGAGGAATGTTTTTCAGGCAACTCATTAAGATGTCTGGTTTTACAGAGGGGGTGTGTTTAAATTTGACTACTACTGTATTGAAATTGCATTTACTAGACAAGACATTAACAGGGTTCCAATTACATAATACATCTTTCTCATGAGTAGCTGAGAGCTTGTACTGTCTTAAAGAAATGAGTAGAGCTGTCTTCGGTTTTTCTTCCAGAGATTATAATTCCTAACAATAGACACATCTGTAAGCCCAGAGCTCTGATATTTACTGCTTGGCTCAAGATAAACACACTTAGGGGAAAACAACTTGCCCCTAACTGTTAAGAGAAACTCTGCCAGTTCTAGAACTAATAGTTACTAAAACTGTTTAGAGTTAGATCACCTTGTTTAACAGATTTCCACTCACCTCCTCACCCCACATCCCTCCAAGTCAGAGCGAGACCTCAGAGCCAACAGCTTGGGAAGGGAAGTTCAGAGTGACTTTAGTTTGTGATCTTATTACTCTACTTCTGGATAACTCCATTCCATCTCCTTACTAATGACTAAAAGCAGCCTTTCTGAGCAAGATGATTTTGCAAGTTCTATGAACTTTAATTTACAGCCTTGGCAGTCACTTTTGAGTTACCAAATCTGTTCACAAATCCAAATAAAACAGGTTTCACAAATTGTCAAACATCAGCTTTTGGTTAGGTGGGTGAAATTCACCACATCTGTAATCACTTTCAAACTGTTTCAGCTTGAGGTTAGATTTATTAACAGTTGGCAGAGTTGCCTGATTTTTCTACTCCTAAATAGACAGTAAATTGAGAAATGTGATAAAATGGGTCAGCCAGAGCAATGTTATATATTTACTGATAGGACCTCATAAAGTTTTCCACGGCATAAGCATAAACATTTAGATAACTAATGAAATTTAATCATTTTCCTAAATATGTGCTCTAAGATAATAGGGTTTATGACATTTATTTAAAAATCAGCATTCAATTTCTTTATCTTCACTTTTTTATGAAAATGTTTATTACCCTTCAATTTAAGGTCTAATGTTGAGAAGTTAATTTGAACCTGAGAACAAAAATTTAAAATATTATTTGTAAATATATACATAGAAAGTTCTAGATTTAGGCTGGATGTGGTGGCCCACACCTGTAATCCCAGTGATTTGGGAGGCCAAGGTGGAAGGATCACTCAAGGCTGGAACACGCCTGTAATCACAGCTACTCAGGAGGCTGAGGCACAAGAATCGCCTGAACCCAAGAGGCAGAGGTTGCAGAGGCTGAGATCGCGCCAGTGCACTCCAGTCTGGGAGACAGAGCAAGACTCTGCCTCACAAAAAAAAAAAAAAAAAAAAAAAAAAAAAAAAAAGAAGTTCTACATTTAAACACACGGGAGCAGAAATCATACTACTGACATCAATATTCCTGCCCTGCATTTGTTGCTACTGGGAGCTGATCAATAAATTTCCCTTTTTCAATGTAATGGGAAATTATGTCTGAGCAAAGTTAGGGCTAGCCTTGTGTTCTTCCAGCTGGGTTTTACAATTCACTAGTGTTAAGGCTAAAATTCAAAGTAGAGTCCTACTTTGCCAGTACAGTTGTTCTTTGGTTACATGGGGGACTGGTTCTAGCCTCCACCCTGCCCCTACACCACAGATACTAAAATCCATGGATGCTCAAGTCCCTGATATAAAATGGCATAATTTTTGCATATAACCTACACACATCCTCCTATATACTTTAAATCATTTCTAGAAATCATTTCTTATAATACCTAATACAGTGTAAATACAGTTATAATACAAATAAAATAATACAGCATAATATTATATATATATATTTTTTTCCCCCAAATATTTTCCATCTGTGGTTGGTTGAATCCTGGGATGCAGAACCCACAGATACAGAGGGCCAATTGTATTATGAATTGTCATTTAGCCAACAGCTAATAACAATTTAATTTTATATTTTACATTACTGGGATTGATGAGAAGAAATGTCTAACAAATCCTCAAAGCTCTAAAATGATTTGCTGCTTTTGTAATATCTCCTCTTAACTTGGAAATGAAAAATGACTTCTTAGAACTAGGATTACCTGTGAAGCATATGTAAAGATATTACAAGTTGAGGTTCATTAGTAGTCTGAGAACGGATGAGTTTGCTCTTCGTTTGTGCAGCAACAAGAGTGCCATCAGACAAGGAAAAACGATAGATTTGACTGAATGCCAATCCTTGTCTCAGTACTGCAGGCAAGCAAAGAAACAGAAGGCATGTTTAGAAAAAAAAAAACTGAGAGGTCGGGGAGGACAAGACATAATAAGAGTAATCAACTTCATTAAGTTTCATAATAGTTTCCCACCAGCATGTTAAAGAGTTATAAGTAATATTTATGAGATTAAAACACAACGTTTTAAAAGCACATTTACTTTTCACTCAAAATACCAATAACCTCAATTATCTGTTTTTCTTATGAAAAGGAGTAAGAGCCTGGACCCTCAAACTGTGTTCTTAAAATCTTTATTATTATGGCAAAACAGTGTAAACCATTTATCAGTTCAAACAAGCTTTACAATGATTTGCTTAAAATGGTAGAAAACAATACAATGTATAAACAGGGTATCTCTTAGGTATACAATTTGACTTTAATTTCCTTGTAAAACTAATACAAATATTAAAATAAAATTTATGACATTAAATATGTTCTCTGAATATTCATCTCAAAGTTACGTACTGTTCAATCCATCATCTCACACACTACTCTCCCCCAATCCTGTTTCTCACTGTGCAAGAAGTATTATTTTCGTGGTTAGGACAACAGGAAGTAAAAGATAAACAATCAGAATAATCTATTCAGAGAAAAAAAGGCTAAACAAAACTGAAACAATAAAAGCGCAAATCTTAGCGACATTGGAATTGGTTTAACTTTTAGATAAGGTGTCAGGTGTTTCCATTTTCAAGACAATAACAAAATACAACACAAATCAACCAGGTTAAGACAATTTCTCTTAAAATAATTGAGATTTATCTTTTAAAGCTACTATGTTTTATAACTGTCTTATACCACCTATTAAAAAAGAACATTTCAATTCAGTTTAAAAAAACACATATAATTTTAGTTCCTCTTAAACCATTTTAACAAGGCTACTATGTTGCTACCACATAATCCTCAGCACACATTTTGTGGGCTGAATAGTTACCCCTAAAGCAACCATGCGTATTCACCATGCCACAAAACTGCCACGAGAGAGAGAGAGAGAGAGAGAGACTGACATATAACGTGGATTCTAATTTCTTGGTAAAATTTCACTCTAAGCAATTTGTCTAATGACTTCTCTCTGCAGTTTCAGTTAGATAGTACATTTAGGTTTCACTTTCTGCCATCAATTGTTGCACAATGTTAGTCTGAAATGGCAGTACTGAAAATGAATTACTGAACATGTGAGTATCTTGCTTTGCATAATGTTTCTAAAAGATGACGTAAATGTAATTTTTTATAGTAAGACTAATATTTCCAATGGCTTATAATTTCAGAATTTTAACTGACCTTGGCTGTGATCCCTAAAGATTTTCATTTAAACTTGGTCTACATCCAACAACTCAGAAAAGTAGGTATGTGTAAGCACTCACCTGAACACATTTAGGAAGTGCCTCCATTTAAACAATGCTTTGCAGATTTCTGTTCAATGCAACTGATCATCCCTGATCTTACCTATTTCAAAAGTTTGAAATGTCTATATGGGGTTTCCTTCTAGTGGGTCCCATCTGTTTAAATCTAGCGCAGTGTCTGGTGCATCTGTGTAAATCGTTTTGTAAGGAATCAGGTTGTCAAAGAATTAAACTCAGGACCCAAGGATGCCGAACATGTTTGCTTATGCCAGTTTCTTGGTTTTTGTTATTACTATTCTTTTTATTTTAAACCGGATGTAATGAAATGGTAGGTTAAATATTGATTTCTGTCAATGTAGCATCTTTATTTCCTTGTATTCTTTCCAACTTAAAGAAAAATGCTAGAAGACACAAGTTGTTGGATTATGCACTTATTTCTAAAAAATAGGATGAATAGGATGAAAAGAATAAATAAGACGAGGAAAAAATAAGGGCATGGTAGAGACAGGTCATTTATTATGATTTTTGCTTTTTTATAAGTGATCTAAAAAGCATAAAGTTTAAACATACCAACACTATTGGTAAAGTGCCAGATGCACATTAGGTAGATGATGACAAACTCAAACTCTATTTTCAATAACTAGTTACAAATTTTTTCTGCAAGGATGCAGACAACTGTTGAAGCTGAGTTACAAGCTGCACTGCACTGCACAAGTCCCTCCCGTGCAGTATGGCCCAGCTGACAGTGCATGTGGAGCCCTGGCCAACCGCACTGCTGGGACACAAAGAGAAGGACAGTCTTGCTCCCCAAATTAGCACATACTAAAGCAAAAGGGAGGTTTTTTTTGGTTCATACCTCTTTAACAGAAAACAAAAATGCACTTGAGAAAAAGTGATTCTTTGGAAAGACTTTTGGAAGCAGCATGACAGTGACCAAAATGGGCTCAGACAGATGTCCTGCATTGATACTGAATGCTAGAGAATCAGTCATTTCACCTGCCTCAACCTCCTTGTCCCCTTGTCCAGAGTGACAGATGTGATGTCCACGTCACAGGCTTGCTGTGAGGGCCAGTGAGAGGAGGCAAAAGGGACAATGCCACACAAAGACCAGGTACTCAATAAGGGCTGCTGTTATTACTGAAGTCTTGGGCTCAGTGCCAGCTGTCCTACTGCTTAAGTCAGTGAGCTGAGACAAGTTGTGTCAACTTTTGGGCCCTCTAGAAATACCTGGATAGTCTTTGCTGGTTACCACCTTGAAGAAGGGCTTGGGGTCCCCACCATTACCTCCACCAGGGATTCACTCACTCTCCAAAATTCCACTTATTCTTATATTCAGATTCTAACTGAATCGTTAATATTTCTCTTAATTAGATGGTACTTATAATTTTGTTATACATCTAGAAGCTCCTGGATCAAAGAAAATGACCTCTTTCTTCCTCCTTTTGTCTGCGTCTGTGACACTATCATCTCCTGTTCTACTTTTGTCACTCTTCTGTCCAACAGGTTCTTCTGTTAAAATTTTCCTTCAGAAGGCAACATGTACGCCAGACGAGACAGCTCACGAGAACGGTCACCAGCTCTGTTCCCAAGGTGAACTCCAGGAATTACTGAGAGAAAGCTCCCACAGGAAGCAATAATTTAAGGAAAATCATTTAGAGATGCCTACCTTCATGATGATGCCTCTTGGCATAGGACACAGATTCTCCTTCATGCTGCGCATGGAACTTCTGAATGCACCTTCTTACCAGGTCCTCCCAGCCTGGTTTCATGGCTGCTCTCATGGTGCTGGTATCCAGAGAAGTGATCTTGCCTATTAAGTAACAGCAGCCATTATACCTACATGCTGATCTATTCTTTATGGAAATAAATATATATATATATATATTTTTCTGAGACAAGAGTCTCACTCTATCGTCCAGGCTGGAGTGCAGTGGTGCAATCTCAGCTCACTGCAAACTCTACCTCCTGGGTTCAAACGACTCTTGTGCATCAGACGCCCAAGTAGCTGGGATTACAGGCGTGTACCACATTTGGCTAATTTTTGTATTTTTAATACAGATGTTTTGCCACATTGGCCAGGCTGGCTTTGAATTCCTGACCTCAAGTGATCCTCCTGCCTCAGCCTCCCAAAGTGTTGGGATTACAGGCGTAAGCCACCACGCCCGGCCAGAAATAATTACATTTTAACAAGATCTAAATGTATTTATTTAAACTAGGTAACACAAGTACATGGACCAAAAGGGTATACAGTGACAGCCAGCATCTCTCTCTCTGGTCTTCCAACTCCTTGACATTTCTACTGCAGCAGCAATTGCTAGTACTAGCATCCTTACAGTCTTCTAAATACAGTCCTTGCATTCTCAAATATGTAAGTATTCTAAAATGATTCCTTTGGTCTTCTTTGGGAAGGAAATTTACCTTGGAGATCCTGGCGAGTAGTAAAACTTTCTGATGAGGGAAGAACTGGTCTTTCCTTCATGGGAACTCTTCTTGCCACACAAATCAAGCAGGACTGCAAATCTTAAATCACACATGTTTACATTTATCACATGGGGCTTTCCTAGTGATTCAAACAAACCCAAGTGTATTTATGACAGCACAGCCCATCATAAAAAAAAGCAGTAAGGGAGAGAGTGATGAAACATTATGTACCTGAGCTTCTTACTGGTTTTATTCTCTCCATGAAAGTGGTAGGTGTGTAAGGGAGACAGAGGGTGGCTGTGTAAGGAGAACTGGGGAGCAGAGGATAAACTGCCTAGGCCCCACGATACATGTGATAGAAATACATCCACTACACAAAAGCCTTAAAAATCTGAAACACTCTCTCCAGCAGTAGAAAAAAAAACGAAATCCTTTCTTTTTAAATGGCTGATAGAAAACCAGGTTAATATATAATGAAGTACAAAAATGATGAAACTAAAATCTGATACTCTTGCTTTATCAAGGGTTTGCTTCTTGAGTTTTAGGGCTCAGGAAAACTAGGTACACCTTATGCCAAATTAAGTAAATACTACAATGGCAATATGCAATTTAAAGCAAAGAATATAAACTGGGTCTAGACACAGATTCAGAGAACGACTCCCACAATACCTAGAAAATGCAGCGTGCACCAAAACAGCTGCATTATAGTTCAGAATCTTGGCTGTAGACAGTTTCTCACACAGCCAGTTCTAATCACTTATTCCTCACCTTGCTTCAACTGTTTTATGCATCAGGGTTCACTTCTGGAGGAAAGGGAAAAGTTTTATTTATCTTTGTAACATGCAGAGCACACTGCACAGCCCTTTCAATTTAAAAAACACTGGACAAATGCTGTTGTTAAAAAAACTTAAGTAATCCCTTCATGTCTCATGTCACTGATTTATGATTGTTTACCTCTAAATTTGAGAATTTCCTGAATTTGACGGAGTTTATTATCTATATTTGCTCCTGCTGCTACCCTATCTAAAATATCAGGCTGCCTCAATTTCTCCCTCCACAGGTATTCATGCTGTAAGGCAGAGGTCTTCTACAATCAGTACTTCACTAACTACTCTAGGACCCCACAGTGCCTCCTTAGACAGATTTTTCTTTCTCAACTTTTACAGAAATTTTAGTATATAGTTTGTAACTTGGCTGTTCCTGAATTGCTCTGTTGTAGTCTTTTAAAATTATTTCATGTATTATTTCTTCAACAAGACTGAAATATCCAGCAATAGTTGGTATCACAAAATTAAAATGCAATTACAGTCCTCAACAAAATAACAACTAAATTTTTGGGCACTGTGAGATAAACACCTTTCTAGCTACTGTATGAGTTATTAACTCAGTTAATCCTCTTAACAGCTCTATGACACACGTAGTAGCATCATTTCCATTTTACAGACAAGAAGATCAAAGCACAAAGTTTAAGTAATTTGTCCAATGTCACACAAACCTTTGGCAAAGCCAGGATTAGAATCTGAGCATGCCATGGCTCAGAAACCCTGTGCTTATGCTATACTGTGTTAACACACAGAACGTACTTTTAAATGTACAAAAAATGTTTATAAAGCACAAAGTAATAAATTAGCTCAGCTATTCCTTTTTATACTGCCTCGGGAATATTATCACAGATGGATAAATTAGCAGCACTTACTCTGTTGCATAAAACAGAATAAAATCATGTGACGTTCCTTACCTAGGCAAAATACTTAATTTTGAAATACTATATATTTATTATCTTTAACAGCTCTAATATTTCCTTCTCAATAAAATTTAAATTTTAAAATAAGCATTAAATAACTAGCATTCAACGCGAACCACAGTTCAGCATATTCATTTAAACCTTATTACATTCTGATACTGGTATTGGTGACTTCACTTGATAATAAACTGATACTCAGAAAGGTCAAGGATTCTGTCCAAAGTCCTAGCCAGAGCTGGGAGCAGCTGAATTAGGAGTTGGCCTGTCTATATAGCCCAGGATGTTTTCAGCCACAAGTGGTCCTCAGCTCTTTCCCTTCTGCTCCTCACGCACAATGCACTCTTCAACACTGCCTTGTATTAGAGTGACACTCAGCTGTGTGGACAGTTTGCCTGGTGGGCTCAGGAGGTGGACACTACATCAGCATATCTTTATGGCGAACAGCCTAATAAACTTATAGTCTAAAACCCACTCCATTCCCCGCTCCTGTCTCTATCCTCTCTTCAGTACCATTCTATTATATCACATTCTGGGCCCAGCATCCATGGATAGGCTACATGGATTCCATCAACCCCTTGAAAGTAAAACGCTGTTTTTACTGTGTGCATTTTTCTTTTTTGAGATGGAGTCTTACTCTGTCGCCCAGGCTGGAGTGCAATGGCGCGATCTTGGCTCACTGCAATCTCCACCTCTCAGGTTTAAGCGATTCTCCTGCCTCAGCCTCCTGAGTAGCTGGGACTACAGGCACATGCCAGCCACCAGGCTACTTTTTGTACTTTTAGTAGAGACGAGGTTTCACCATGTTGGCCAGGATGGTCTCGATCTCCTGACCTCGTGATCCACCTGCCTCAGTCTCCCAAAGTGCTGGGATTACAGGCGTTGAGCCACCGTGCCAGGACAACTGTGCATTTTTCTAGGGCTGTGGCATACAGCTTGCACTAGATGTTCAAAGAGCCTAGGATCCCCCAAAAGTGTGATCACTAATACAGTCACACTAGTACAGCAGCCACTAGCCACATGTGGCTATTCAAATGCAAATTTAATAAAATAAAAAATTCAGCCCCCTAGTTGCACTACTGACATTTCAAGTGCTCACCAGCCACATGTGGCTAGTGGCTGCCACACTAGACGCTAAAGATATGTCACTTCCACCATCGCAGGTAATTCTGTTGGACAGTGCTGTTCTGGAGACTTAAACATTTCCATCACAAAATAGTAAAATTGAAAAGAACAAAGATATTGCCTCCTCACTTTCCTTCAGGTGACCACTAATTAAAGTGTGAAGGAAGTAGCACAGGAATAAATACACAGACATATAAAACACCCTAGGGGTTCTGTCCCACCTTCTCCTTCTTCTTTGATGGACTTTGGTTGAGAGACAGCGAAGCACTGCATAGTTTCATATTTCTGATGAGCTTCCTGGTTATCATGACCCTCCTCTTCTGAATCAGGTAAAGGTTTTACCAGCATCCGACAATTGAAGGTATGGCTGTTCCGCCTCGGAGGTTCGCCAGACCAAGATCCCCCATTCACTGAGCAAGGCAAAAGCAACCCAGTTTTACAGAGAAACAAACATCAGATTCATTGCCTCTGAATTATTAAAATGATGTAGGAAAAATATGATTATTTCATCTTTACGTAATACTTTTATACTTTTCTAAATACTTTCATAATCTAGAGGAGGAAAAATCTTTTAACATTTTTACAACTTGGGAATATCCTGGGATTTTCTGTTTTTTTCCCCACATTTTAAAAAATTTTATTATACTTCAAATTCTGGGATGCATGTGGAATCTTGGGATTTTCAAAACATCTTCTACACCACTTCTTTACCCTGACTCCTTCCCTTCAAGTCCTGTCCTGGATTGTTACTAGAATACTATAGTTTTCTACTTTTGCATCTTCCTAACTGATTTCTTGGAAATTTAGTTCAATCTACTTGCATTCCAATTTTAGATAAGTTACCCCTGCTCAAAACTCTGTGAGTGGTACCAAATGTAGTGCACATTAAATTCTTTCAGAGGATTTAGAATTGATGTAGTCTGGAGGATGAAGTCCATTAACACAGACTCTCACTAACCAGTTCCACTGCATCCATCTAATGGGATCTTCCACACCCCTGCACAAGCCTACCCATGCTCCACCATACCAGGGCCGCATGGATGTCCTTGCTCCTGCTGCCACTCTATCTAACACATCAGGTTGCCTCAGTTTCTCTCTCCACAGGTACTCGTGCTCTAAGGCTGAGGTCCTCTACAATCAATACTTTACTATCTACTCCCCCATACTGCCTCCTCGGGCAGATTTTTCTTTTCTCAAATTTTACAGAAATTTTAGTATATAGTTTATAACTTTGTTTTTCCTGAGTTGTTCAGTTGTAGCCTTTTCCAATTGTTTCATGTATATTTCTTCAATAAGACTGAAAAATCCTTGAAAATATAGTGCTAATGTCATTTCTTTTCAAGTTAACTACTTCAGACATCTGAGTATTAAAACTAAAAAAAGTATATATTTACTTTAAGAAAGAGACAATGAAAGAGAGGAAAGACATCAATTATTTTTGAAATGCATTAGAGATAACAATGAAAGAAATAAAACAATGACCGATTTTGAGAATTAAAGGGTGTTTATGGATTTTACCAGGTTAACTTCTTCATTTGACACATAAAAAATCTGATGCCCAAAGACATGTTCAACTACTAGAAAAGTTGGAATCAGAACCAATCCTAATTCTTATTTTGGTGTTCTTTTCTATATTATTCCTTATGCTTTATCTAAAAATACTGGGGACAGCAGGACAATAGAACAGGGGATCAAAAAAAGGGTGAGTCATAAGAAAACTAATATATTTTCCAGTAACCAGCTAGAGAAAATGGAGAAGGACACGTAGGTGTTATAGCGAACCCAATGGCCCATGAATGGCCCAGTGAACCCAAAGAACCCATGGCCACTGGGCTGTAGAATGAGAAAGGAAACAAACTCTAGAAAGGAAAAAGGTAGCTGTAAGAAATTGTCTTAAAATTACAGAAAAACCCATAACTAGCTTTGTATATCTTTGCAGACATTTGGAAAGTTCATTTCAGCATCAGCATTTTATTTTATTATTATTACTTTTTTGAAACAGAGTCTCTGTCACCAAGGCTGGAGTGCAGTGGTGTGATCTTGGCTCACTGCAATCTCCACCTCCTGGGCTCAAGGGATTCTCGTGCCTCAGCCTCTGGAGAAGCTGGGATTACGGGCACGAGCCACAACGCCCGGCTAATGTTTTGCATTTTTAGTGGAGGCAGGGTTTTGGCATGTTGGCCAGGCTGGTCTCGAACTCCTGACCTCAAGTGATCCACCAGCCTCGGCCTCCCAAAGTGCTGGGATTACAGGGGTGAGCCACTGAGCCCAGCCATTATCAGCATTTAAAAAAGCTTATTTACAAAATAAAGACTACACAGAGTAATCAACTGAAGAGAAAAAGAGTTCCTATTAAGTCAGATTAATAAGTTGAAAGTTGAAAGGATACAATATAAAGTAAGACAAAAAGCTCTTTAGACAAGTGAATGAATAATAGTGAATTAATAAGTAGAGGTCTTTTAAGGAAGTCATAAAACTACTGAAGAGATCTGAAAATATTAGTTACTTGAAATAAGAAATCCCATTTTAATTTACTAGAGAATATAATAAAGGAATCCTACACAAGTATTCACACATTTTGCATTACTGTTGTAGTCACTTTGAACAAAGAATTATCACATAAAGGAAAAGCTAGCCCAAATGAAATTTGAAAAGGACCTTTTCCTACTTCTTATAACAGGAAGAACAGCTAGTATAAACAATCTTAAGAACAGAAATACTTGCCAACTCAGGATTTGACCTTATTCTTCATTTCTTTCAATCCGTGAAGATGTTCTTAGCATCATCAGTTTGAGAATATTAAAAAAAGAATCACTTAGTGAGTGGGAACCGCAGTACTCTAGAGCGGCAGCTAAGGTGGGCCCACGCTGTGAATCACCCCACTGCACAGTGTGTCCTTAATCATCACGTATACTCGGACGACACGTCCAAAATAAGATGAAGTCAGGAAATTCGAGACAGGGAGAGTGGGCTAAGGGAGCAGCATCTGGTGATCACACCTACAGGGCCCACCGAAGAGTCTGCGAGACAGAAGAGCCCATTCAGGGCTTGGGCTGTAGCATCTGAACCTCTCCACATCTGCCACTTGTTCCTTAACATTTTATTTCTAGAATGTGTATACACCTATAATACGCTTCATGTGCAGGACTCAAAATACGTTGAATCTCAAACTTCTCATGACCTTTGACTTTTCAGATGGTCATGGAGAAAATGGACAAAACAAAGTTGGCTAGAATGGAACAGGGTGAGGCAATGTGTCACCTTAAAAAACAATCTCTACATTATAGCACAAAGGATAGACGCTCGAGGGGATGGATACGCCATCTCCATGATGTGATTATTTCACACTGCATGTCTGTATTAAAACACCTCATGTACCCCATAAATACATACAACACCTACTATGTACCCACAAAAATAAAAAACAATTAAAAAACCACAACAATCTTAATGAAAATAGTTGCCATATAAGTACTTTCCATCTGAATCATTTTCATGAATCTGAATCAATTTCTGTTCATTTATCATGAGATAATTACTGCCAAGCAAAATAATAATCATCATCATCATCACTTCTTGGCCTTCTGGCTAAGAAGCAATGATTTTCATGTACTTTAAATATTGGATCAAAAATGATCACTCATTTGAGATCAGTATCTGAAGATGCCCCCTTTTCCATGACTTTTAAGCTTAAACACACAAGCATCTGTAAAAAACTACCCAGTCACTCTCATCCCCATCTGATATAATATAGTTTTATTTGATCCACTTCAACCAAGACAATGTGCATGTGTATGAGGCGGGGGCAAGTGGAGGTGAGGGGAGGTAGGGAGGGAGATCCAGCAGACAGTCATTTACCTATAGACTTTGGCAGCAGGTTTTTGACAAATTCCGTGTGGTCCCCAACATGCAAGATGCTATATACACTTTTGTTCATCAGCTCTTCTTGGTTATACCTTAGATACTGTGTCACATTCTCTGACACAAACACAACGTTGCCTTCCAGGTTCACTACAAAGAAGAACCCATCAAGGGCCTAGGGGACAAAGTACAAACTGTTAGGATGCAACATAACATCACAGCAATTGTTAAGAAGGGAATGATCCCTTTAAGGGAAACACAATTCACACATGGATAGAAAAAGAGATCTTTCTCAGCTCTCTCCCAGTTTTCAGGAACAATTAACACATTTTCTCTTGGTGAAACAGAAATTATTCCATCTTACTAAGTGGGAGAGAGCCTAGATTAGGGTTTCTTGTCACAAACTAAATGACCAACACTAACTCCATTAATTTATCAGGAGATAATTACTGTGAAGTAAAAGTGTACAGGCATTCATCTGTATTTTCAAAATGAGATTGACATACTCCACCAGGCCAAGAACAACTTTTATGTCACCAACCTAATGCATGGTAATTTTTATCTACAGTTTTTCATGTTATACAATGAGAGAAAGGAGTCATTAACATTTTTTTCCCCAGTTTAAGGATAATTACCAGGAAAACCTTCCCAAATTTTACCACCTAGCTGTCACGGATTATATGAAAAACATCACAGATAATTTCAGACCTTTAAAGAAACATCAATCCTTTATTACTTGGTATATATGGGAAAGGGTCTCCGAAGTGTCTCTGATGTGGCAAACTCACCTTCATGGGGACCTCAGCATTGCCCTGCCCTTAGAAGGGCACTAATTATGCCAAATTATTCTATGTTACTTGTTCTCCAGATTAAGAAGCAGGTTCCTAAATTACCTAAATAACAGTAGCAAGCTTCCAGTAATGAGTTCACAGCTTCACTTTTTGTTGTCATCCCAATGGAGGTGAGGGAAGGAGATAAAAAATCTAGGATCATTTCAGGAAGCTGAGATAATAATAGTGGATGTGGACATGTTCACTGTGCCTTACACGTACCTCCTGGAAGGAATGTTTTATCTTTGCCTATTTATAGAGGAGGAAACTGAGGCTCAAAGAGGTTAACGTCTCAGAACTAGTCAGTGGTAGTAGAGCTTGAATGTGAATCCAGGAGGATCTGATTCCAAAGCTCATGCTTTGATGACCATTCAGTACAGTCTTCTACTCTAATATTCATTCACCCCTAATCCATTTCCCATTATGTTCACCTTGGTGATGGAAATGTAGGGGGTTTAGTGAGTTTCTCCTGGTTACATTACCGCATTTTCCTTTTTTTGATCCTTGCTTATCAAAGCTCTGTTTTTATGGGTCAGGTGAGTGATAAGGACTGAAAGCTTTACGTTGATTCATCATACCTGGGACCACGGCCATGGGGTCTAGTCAGTTTAGGCTGCTCAGTTTCTTTATGATACATGTTTATTACAATTTTCTCTTTTTTGGAGATAAGGTCTTGCTCTGCGCCCAGCCTGGTGTGCAGTGGCACGATCACAGCTCACTGCAGCCTTGAACTCCTGGGCTCAAGCTATCCTCCCACCTCAGCCTCCTGAGTAGCTAGGATCACAGGTATGCACCACCACACCCAGATATTTTTTATTTTTTGAGACAGGGTCTCACTCTGTTGCCTAGGCTGGGGTGCAGTGGCATGATCACGGCTCACTGCAGCCTTCACCTCCTGGGCCCAAGGGATCCTCCCACCTCAGCCTACCAAGTAGTTGGAACCACAGGCATGTACCATCACACTTGACTAATTTTTTTATTTTTGTAATGATGGAGTCTCCCCATGTTGCCCAAGTTGGTCTTGAACTCCTGGGTCCAAGTGATTCTCCTTGTCTCAGCCTCATAAAGGGGTGAAATTACAGGCATGAGTCAGTGCACCAGGCTTTTTAAATTTTCTCTAGAGAAAGGAACTCACTGTGTTGCCCAGGCTGGTCTCAAACTCTTGGCCTCAAGTGATCCTCCCACCACTCTGTAATCCCAAAGTGCTGGGATTATAGGCATGAGCCACTATACCCAGCATGTTTATTACTATTTTTAAGATGAATGTCCTATGTATATACACATACAACAATGAATTTGGTGGATGGGGCCTAAAGTGTTTACTTTTTCCCTAGTTTGTTTTATCCTTAAGTTACTATTAAACAGGCTCCTATTTTATGAGCTATCTTTGAATATATTTCATCTTTAATTCTATTTTAATCACAAAACTAAGTGCTCTCTCAAATTAGAACTGACCATAAGGCACTAAAGAAAGGTTCACCCATTTGGTTTTTAAGTTTTTCTTAACACATTCTATCAGGTTTTCTCAATGGTATGAACCACATGCAGGACAAAGCAAGACTACGTGTAAATAAACAGCCTTTCATAATACATGGTACTAACCTTGAGAACTGTGTGCAAGTGTGTGCACTCAGGAGGTTAGGTGATAAGTTATATGCCCAGTGTCCCTTTTCAGCTCACTGATTTGGATATACCCTTTGATAGGGATTTTCATAATCATATTACCTATGGTTCATTTTTAAAAGTACATGTTGCTTCCTATTGCTTATACCACAGTAAAAAGACTGATTTGAGGCATAATAAAACTGGAAGATGAAATTGTTTCATCTCATAAAGCGGTGTTTTTTTTAAGGCTCACTATGATATGCTCTGATGAAAAAAGCTGACATTTGGTTGTGCTGCCTAGCAACCACTATGCTATGATGTAAGCATGAGTGTGCATCTATGCCTAGGAACAGCTCCATGAGAACATGTTCTCTCTGTTCAAGTGATTGCACGTAAACAGGGATAAAAATTTAAATTCAAACCGTAAGTCACCAGATTTAAGAATAACCTCTCTAACACATTTAACACTCAAGTCCTGCTACACAGGTTCTTGATCAATGTACTAAATTCTCAGAAGACTATTTTGAACGACAAAAATGTTGGTTTGATTTTATGACATCAGGTCTACTGAAATCTAGCAATCTGATTTCTACAATTGATGAACTCAAAGGGCTTGAGTCCCAGCTCCGGTTACTCCCAGCATTTCTATTTAGAAGTCTCACAAGTCTTCCCAGGAGTTTCCACTGTAATATTCCCCCTACCCCAAGATACGATGAATAAACACAGGTATAGGGAAATTTCCCAACTGTAATAATTTAGTTAACATAATTTTCAAATCAGTTTTAAATTTATAATTCAAACATTTTTCCAAAGCAAATTATCCACTTTCTTTAACTCTAAATGGTCCACCTAGTTACAGTTTTCATAATCTGCTTCTAAGAACCCAGAGAGAAGTAGCACTCTCTGGCCTTCCATTGCCTTGTTGACTATAGAAAATTGGGTTAAGTGTGTTTTTGCTTTTCTCCTGGAAGGTGAGGCTGAATGTTTTCAAGCCAGTGATTCAAGAGGAGATAAACAAGGGCCAACACTGGGACATTTAAAGCTTTTTGGCCAGCAGGTTCAGCCCCAGGAAATGAAGTTTGTCATTTCTAAATACAAAGTCTGGGTCAGACGATCTTGAAGTCTTTATTGTGTGCCCCCTTCTGCCTTGCCCCCAATTTTATGGTAGATTTTCACAGAACTAGATTTTCTTAAAAATCCCTTTAAACATCAACTGAAAAAAAGAGATAAGGGGGACTATTGGTTATCTTTGTTTTAAAAATCAGAATTGTTGGCTGCTGCAGCAAGCTAGCTGATTCTACACTGGCAGTGCTGCAAAGCTTCTGGCCATGCAGTCTTTTCAACCTCATCATATCATCAGCCGAGCAAATTATCCTGAGAACTGACATAATTTATGTCTCAGGGTTCCTCTGTTTCTTGTTATATATTCACTGACATTTTTTTTTCTCATCTTACCATAACCTACATCTTGAATTTTAATTTTGGAAAAGGTACAGCAAAGCACTTGGCTTTTAGTACTAGTTAATAAAATAGAAAAACTGTACTTTACAAATTCTAGACATTAGCTGGTCATAAAGCTTCCTTAATAAAGAACAGGTAGTGAAGACCAACCTTATGCTTCTCTTCAAAGTTCCTTTTGCCTATTATTTCACTTTTCTTCCTTATGAGATAAATAAGCTAGTTTGAAACAGCATAAGTAGGAAGCATAAAGCTCCTCCTTGGTCCTCATATTTTAACCTGTACGTATAGGCATTTGTACATGGCATACACAAAATTTAAGAATTTTGAGAACATTTCAAGCTACAATACAACACAGAATTTAGTAGGACTTGTGAATAGTTTCCCAAATAAATGCTCAACTGGCAATTACAACTTGTCAATGTCTACTGTAATCTAGTTTATTTAATTCTATGCTAATTTCAAACACACATTTACTGGCAGCAGGAGCCAAAATATACGTAGAGACACAGAGCCATATCAGCAAGCTCAAGAGGTACATAGTACTAGTACTAGTACTAGTGTGGATTCTCCTTAAATTACATTCACCTGAAATTAAATGTAATAATGTGAAGATCAACAAGATTTTAAAATACAGTACTAAAATGAAGATGTGCTACCTCAAGCATCATAGGCCCCAGCGCATCCTTGTCGATGACACCCTGCCCTGTGGAGGATACATCTGACTTCTGCACTTCATCTATGTTGGCAGCTGCTGCTTTCTCTGCAATAAACATAAGTGTGAATTAAATGGCAGTGCTATATCAAGGACAGAGTGACACAGAAATGTTTTTATTGTGATGATTTTTAAAAATCTCTAGTGGGATCAGATGTAGCTACAAAAGAGTTAGAGTACATCCCTGTTGCCCCTAAATGGGAGACACTGCTGGAAGCAGAAGCCAGAACATTAACTTTTCACCTCTAGAACCTGTGGCTCGGATCCCCTTTCAGGCTGCTCAGAAAATGAGTTTTGAGGTTTCCTGACAGTCCCCGACAGGCATTTTTTTTCTAGACTATGAAACTGCTATATTCTATGGCACAATTAGCTTCTACTCAGGAGATTCCCCAAACTAGGATAAAGGAAGGTCTGTTGTTCAGAATTCAGTAGCATAATCAGCGATAGATTTGCACACATTTGAAGAAGTAACAAGGAGTCATAAACTGCTATGGCTGCCCCCATGGGACACTCTGCAATGTCTGCCTGGACTCTTTTACTGTTCCACTTCTGCTTACATTCCCATTTAAAGTGGCCAGGAAGATTTGGTCCCAGTGCTTCTCCATCTAAGAGGTTAGAAGCACTCTACCAGGGACTTGGGGAATTTCAATGGCTGCCCTCTGATCTAGGCAAAGAGGCACGTAGTGTGTGCTCCTGGATGGAAACGTACAAGGCAAATTTCAGGCTCATGAACACAGGAAGGCCCCGGAAGACATTCCATCATAGAATGAGAACGTTTTGTGAAAAAGCTCACAGAAGAAAAAGATGCACACTTATCAACATATGTGTAAAGTAGTTATTTCAAGAACACCAAAAAAAGTTTAAAGCATAACATACACATATCAACAACTTGCTAGAAAACAATACAAAACCTGACAATTATTTGTACCTGAATAAATTATATCCTTGTTTATATTGCATGTTATCATTGTAATTAAACGTAGAAATAGAAAACTGTAAATCAATTTAGCACTCAGAATTAACCTGCTTTCGAAAGAATCTTAATAATTTTTTTGTCAAAAACAGTTTATGCAGTATGTTGAAAATCTGTAAAGCCTAATTTATGGCTGAGAACCTAGAAAACAAATAGGGATTATGTGGGTCCTCCCAATCTTGCCATTCCCACGACAAAGCTTCCACAGAACATGTTATCAATGGAAGGGGAAGATGACCTGTGCAGTTCAAGCTCAAACTCAGCCACTGAGAAGTATGACTCCAAGCAAGCTGCTTAAACTTACCTGTCTTCTGTATATCAGGGACCAAGCTAAAGTAAATGGGATGATACGTGAAACACTCTTTTTTTTTTTTTTCAGACGGAGTCTCGCTCTGTCGCCCAGGCTGGAGTGCTGTGACCGGATCTCAGCTCACTGCAAGCTCCGCCTCCCGGGTTTACGCCATTCTCCTCTGGGACTACAGGCACCCGCCACCTCGCCCGGCTAATTTTTTGTATTTTTTAGTAGAGACGGGGTTTCACCGTGTTAGCCAGGATGGTCTCGATCTCCTGACCTCGTGATCCGCCCATCTCGGCCTCCCCAAGTGCTGGGATTACAGGCTTGAGCCACCGCGCCCGGCTGAAACACTCTTTAAAAATACAAAGAAGTTTTCAAATGTATCATAATACTAGCATATCTGTATTGATTAGTTCTTCCTTGAGTTCCATACGTAGTAATTTCTTTGCAGAGCTTATCATAAGCAGACTGTATCTGCTTTATCAACTCTCTAATATATTCCTGATTCACCTCCTTAGATCAAAAAAATTGTGACTGCCTATAAATAGAGATATGACTTGTCTGGTAGCCTTCATAACTCAATATTGGCGGATCTGTCAGTCCTTGCTTCGTTTCTGGCTTTGCTGCCTTTCCAAGCTCCTCACTGCGGGGTGCTGTACATTTGTTCTGTCTGCAGGCTTCATCTCATCCCAATTCCTCAGTCAGTCCCTTCTGAGGCGGGAAATACCTCAGGGTCTCCAGCCACAGGATTTGTTCAGCCAGTTATTGCATGTGACTGCCCCCATCCCCTTATCCTGGAATCTTTTTTATTGCCAAATAGACTCACAGTAAAATAAATGTGCACTGGGGCATACTTTTTAGGGCATACTTTTTAATTTTGTTGGCGGTTCGCTCTGTAAGGATGTTGATTTCTTTTCAAGATCTCCTCACTTTTCTACCCACCATTTCAGGAATAGGATTTGCACTGCTACCTGCTGCTTCATCTAATTTTCAAGGGCCATCTTGCTATGGGAGCTATGCTGGATTTTCCTTGAGCACCACCATCCACACCACACTCTGTGGAGTCTTCTTGGATGTGGACAGGATGTGTACCTCTCTTAACAGTCCTTGTTGTAGAGGCCCCAATGTGCCTCAGACCTAAGGATCCCTATGTTTCATGAATACTAAATCTCAAGGCCCATATAAAACATGTCATAATTTGTGTGGTCCTACTGCATTTATTTCTTGTCTTCAGTGTTGCGGCAGTCCACGTACGGGAGCAATGTGCTGACATACCACAGACTGAGTGATCCGCAGCCTTTCCTTTACCTAACTATTCACAGGGGTCGCATTATCCCATCAGGGGTCACATTCTCCCATCTTTCAGTAGCAGCAGTGATTCTCAAAATGCAATGGTAAACATGAGAAGACAACCGCCCTGGAGGGAGGTCTATCAGAATGTGCAGTGGGAACACACAGACAGCTTGAAAGGTCTGCTTCGCTGAGATTCTGATACATCTTCCTAGGAGGATATCCCCATTCTCCTGCCTCCTACAGTGTGACACACACAGTGCACAAAAGAGTAGGCTACCCCACTTGAAGGTAAGCTTTTTGAACTGTGTCTGGATCCTCAATAGCACCATCCCGATTTTGGACCAGGTTTTCACTGCATCTGTGGGGGCTGACTGAGAGGCTAGACCCACCACCAGCACTTCCTCCCAGAAGCATGGGAGCAAGTGGGATCGAGGTGTGTGGAAAAAGAAAGTAATTTTCCCCTTTTGCCTCACTGGACCTCCAGGGTAGAGGAGGAGGATAGAATGGGAGGACAGGGTCAAGTAATATGGGAAACGGTTTCCTAAAAATTGGTCTTAAATAACAACCTTATCTTGCTATAGTCAAGAAGTTTCAAGGCATCTCATATTCTCTAAGGATCCCAAGTCCTATTATTCCACTGTTTTATTATTTTTAAGAATGAATTTAGTTTAGGTTAATGTTGGGGGAGAGAGGGAGAGGAAACAACAGCTGCCAATCACAAAGGCAACCTTGCGCCTATCACTGATCACTAGAAAACATCAGGCTATTTGGCACATGAGATTCTGATAGCACAATAGTAATGAATTATTGTTTTCTATGGTATCGATACTAATGCTGCATTTTTGGGCAAAATAAATACAAAATAATGATGTTTGTGATAGTAACCAAATTCTACGCCTTTTAAAGACAATAAGTATGCCTTGTGAGATGTTTATGGTATCAGGGTATGATTATCTTTCTGAGGATCTAAATTCAGCCATCAACATTCTGTGTGATACAAAAACTTACACTTAGATAACTCAATCAGGCAGGTTCCTCAACACTGGTAAGTCTTTGTGCCTGGTATTCTAAATTCTAGCAACATGCTCAGGCAAAGAATTTTAGACTTTTGTCAAAGGTTATGTAGAATCAGGATCAAATCTGTACAGAATTTTATTTTTAGGAATTTATAGATCAGATATAATTTGGGGTAAGGGCCTACGATTTAAACTGGGAGATGATTTAGATCTCACAAAACATGTGTTTGAGGAACAACTGGAGGAAAGCCTGGATAAAAATAATTATTACCCTGAAACATTATTTATAAATGCGAAACATGCTGTTTTATTCTTTAAAATATTCAACTGATAAATATTTAAGAGGAAGAAAGCAGCAACTAACAGCAGTAATGGAGAATGAGTGGCCTATGTGAGCCCACATGTGGGAATAGAATAGTGACACTGGGATGGGCAGAGTAGCCTATGTCTGTGTGTCTGGTCTGTGGCCCGCACTGCCTATGCAGGGGAAGCAAAGTGAAAAATCCTCGTCCGCTGAGGGCTCACCCTCTATCCAGGAGGGCAAAACTATTACAACCCAACCAAATGAAGACAACATAGGGCTAAACGGCAAGCCCTCGGTTCAAAAAAGGGATGGAAATGGCTGGACATAGCTGAAAGTATTTCACATATGTTGTAACCGAATTGGATTCTGCAGGATATGCAAGTGGACAGCAAGAAAACAGGTGGGGACGGATGTGTGGCTGGCATCAGGCCACTACAAAATTTCAGCCTGGCTTGAAAGCCCACGGTAAGGAACACTGGCGAAACGTTGATCTAAGCTGGAACTCTAGCAATCTCAGACAGAAAATAAAACAACAAAGGTGTTCACAAGATCAGCCTAAATGTATATTAGCGGAAATTGTGCTTTGAAAGAAAATTCCAAATGAGTCTATAGGTTACTTGCAAGAAAAGTTTTAAAAAGTGTTGTAATATTTACACAAATGCTATTTACATATATTAAGAGAATGGGAAATTTTTATTCCTCATAAAGTAAGGAAATAAAAGAAAAAAGGGTAAAGAATTCAGAGCTTCTTACTCTTATCCTTGCAAGAATGAAACATCTATTTTCTAGCTAATTTGTCATCTATTCTTTAATTCTGTATTGAATTTGTGCTTTGACCATTTCTCAATATTAAAAAGAAAAAATCAATAATATGAAGTGATAGAAAACACTCAGAAATATGGCTTTACCAATGTAATTGGAATCTAAATTAAACTGGTCCTAAATTTATGTTATTTGGGTACTTTTCATAAAGTAATTACTACCTCTGTTGAATGTTCAGTTGAGCCTTGAAATTATACAGGAGGAGGAAAAAGAAGGGAGGAAGGGAGGAGGAAAAAGAAAAGGACTCTTTAAAGAGATACTATTATGTTAACCGGACATATACTGGTATCTTGACAGAGCATTTCAGTAACGAGTATGCTATTTTTACGTACCAGATATAAATAA